AGCAAGTTACCTTGTGCATTCTGGGAGGAGGGGAGAGGAATTGTGACATATTTTGAGAGGTCCCCAGCATGCCTGTCTGCCCACACCAAAATTATTTAAACTTGATTTTAAAAGTTGGCCACTAAAGGATGCAAGGGGGCTTTTTCAGAGTAACAGAATCAGCAGCAGCAACAACAAAAACACTTCTGTAGGAAAAAAGTTTGGGGGTATGGGCATTGGAGCACGAGTAGGTGCAAATGCAGCCCCCCAAGGTCCAAAGATGGATGCATGTGGCTTTTTAGAACTCTGTAGTATGCCCACCTTTATTCTACTCAGTGGCATGGCTAGCAACACTCCAATAGCTAAAATTCTCCATGCCTGAAAAGGTACATAATCTTATATACTGTACTTTATATTTTTATACTTTGTATTATGATGTAACTTCTCTGTTCCATCAACTCCACCAGCTGTCAGTCCACTTCTCAACTCAATTCAGAATGTGACTAGACAGGGAGACTGTTCCCAGTTGATTTGGGTTGATTCAAATTTTTCTGTACCAGTTAAATTGCAAAGTATATGGTGCCAGACTCATGTACTGAGATAAGTATACTATGTTTTTTCTTCCCATGTGCTTGGGAAATCAAATCTACTGCTCCTGTAGCTTCTTAGCCTCTAAGCCTCCTGAGTAGGCTTAGAGGCTAAGAAACAAACCACAAGAATTGAAAGAGTGCTTCATTTAACTGCCTCATGTGATTCAAAAGACTGAAACAACAATTTCACATTTTAAACATCTAGCAAATACCCTTCCTTTTGTATTGCTTTCAGCATATGCATTGCTTCCTTCTTGTGCTAATGCTATTTTTCTGTTTGTTTCCTTTCTAGATTAACCTGTTTGTCTTCCAAGACTGGTTTTCCAATTGCCACTTCACACAGAATGAAACATGTGGCAAATGAATTTCTCCTTATAGTAGTATGGAAAATAAAACGTGTCACCCATGGTTGACTGTCTGACACCAGTACCAGAAATATATTTGAGATAGATGTGGTCTGCATAAAAATGCAAATGTTATGCCTCATCCAATATGGCAAGTAGTAGAGATGGCTGATATAATGGAAAACAATAAAGTTGTCATGAATTTATATTAGTGACCATATCACCTATAACTAAGGTTAGGAGCCAAGATAACTTGTTCAATGTATAATTTTTTATTAGACATGCATTTGTTATTAGGGCAGTACTCTTGACAGATTATCAGGCTACCTCTGTTCAAACAATGATGATATGAACGGGAAGGAAACACAGTCATACTATTCTTTCACTCCACCCTGCTGCCCGCACACTTATGTGAAGCAATAGACAAAGCTTACATGATGTATACACTAGAGTACATTCAGTTTGGTCACCATCATTTGTGGGAAAGAATCAGTGGCTACAAATTACACTGCCATTGCTCGCATTCTTCCATCTTTTACAATTCCAGCATTTAACCAGCTTCTTTTGGTGATATTTTAGCACCATCAGTAGCTTGATTTTCTATATAGTGCATATCTAGAAATATGATCATACAGCACAGAACAATCACCAGATGCCTTGCATAGTTGTGACTTTTGAGCTGTCATCATACTGCAAAATAGATTAACTTCTCTTCACTTATCAGATACATAACAGAATACCCGACAGCATGCAAGTTTTCTATGTTGCCATGGCTTACCTAGCATCTGTTGATCAATATTCTTTTACCTCATGGTCTGTAGGTTGTAGGAAATAAAGTGGCTTGTTTCTGGAAAACATCAACAATAGGGTGTAAGGAAAATTGCATTATTATCTCATGTTATCAACCCCCATGACATAGTGTTTTAAGCAATATAGCATGCTTGGATAACCTAATTAATTAAATAGAATATCCAGTCATGCAAAAGATTAAAGTATTGTGTTGTTCCCAAGTATCTTTCAGCACTTAGCAATTGAATTCAGAAATAATAATGCAGGAAGGAATGATATAAAATAATTAGTGAGTGCATTTCTCAAAAGTTATTATCACTCACTCTGTGTAAAACATGTACTGTATAGAAGAACATTCTCATTAATATACATTCAATACAGAATAAACAATTTGGTACATATGGTGTTGGCTGAGTCAGATGAAAATAGTTGATGTTGTTGGCAGGGTATGCACTGTTTCCAACATGTGCTTGATGTTCTAGAGTTAGAGTTTGCTTTAATTGTCTAACTTGTACACATTTCTTAATGGCTTTTAATTACATACTTTGTCCATAAGGTAATGTAGTGTTCCCTTTATTATGGCAATGATTCATGTTTGTTATGGTAATTGTTCGTGCATATTCATGTTGCTGAGAGGCGGAGCCAATAAAGATGTGATAAGAGGCGGAGTCAGAGTTTCAGTCAGAGAGTATGAGTAGAGTGGGAGAGTGGAGAAGGAGTTAAAGTGTGGAGTTTGGGGAAATCTTAGAAGTGATTAGAGTTAGGAGTGTATTACCAAATAGAAGATTGTTGTTAATAATACATTTACCTAAAGAAGATATTCATGAATCTCTATCAATTTCTGTAATCAATAAACAAAAATTATATTTAAGAGACTTTGAAGGGTGGACCTGAATCTTCATCTTCCTGAAGTAATGGTGATTTAGTGATCACCTGGTGCCAGCGGGGTAAAAAGGAGGGGATTGTTTGTTTTCGTGTGCTCTGAGTCTTGACGGTCAAGCAAGGGGTACGAGGGTGAACGCCACAGGAAACTGTAGTAATGCAGATTGGTCATTTTGGAACACTGAAGCATACAATCAGCATAGCATCAATATAACATCTGTTTGGTTTAGAGGTGAGAACATCTGGTTGTCCAGATTTTTTACTATAATTTGGCCATATTGGCTGGGGCTTCTAGCAGCTGCAGTCCAAAACTCTGGAAGGAAGAAAATGCCCACACTTTCTCTAGGGTACAATACATGTATTTTGAGTTGATTCTCCTTAACAGATTTGGGCAGCTGTAGCTCTCCAAATGTCAAATTCCTGTTCCTACCAATCTGAGGCAGCATAGCTAGCCTCTACGATCTCTGACTGTTAGTCCTGCTGGCTGTTGAAGTGCATCTGAAAGGCAAAGTTTCCACAACCATGTTCTAATTCATTAAGTCTTCCACATTCAATCTGTGCTCAATTATTTGCACAATTTTAGCAGGTGAACTATTGGATTGCAAATCTACTTTGAGACATATGATGCACTTCACAGATTTTTATTGTGAATTATATTGCCCATGCTGTGATGCACTCTAGTGATATGATTGGCTCCATGTAATGTTTGCCTAAAATTGATTAGTGCAGTTCTCTTACTGACAGACTGGAATGGGAGATTTTCATGTCAAGGTAATTTAAAAGAGATCAGAGCTCTGAGTTTGCAACAGCCATATCTGAACTCATTTTAGCTTTAACAACAGAAAGCTTATGATTGATCCTCATACAGTTTTAATTTTCTCAGTGAAATTAATTATCTAGCCCTAGTAAGGGACCAAAACACCAAACTGTGAATTTCTAATAGCGGTCTTCCATTACTTGACTGGCTGCATATATAGACTACCTCTACCAAATCCACCTTTGCCTATTGTGGCCATGTTGCGTCTAAATACCCCTTTGAGCCGTTATGGCTTAATTTATACTTGCATGAGTTCTCAGAAATGGCACATTTCTAGTATATTTTCTTGATAATAATTGCACCTGCTTACTGTTTTAATAAGGAAATGCAGGTATTGGTGAGTTTGTCTGTCTTTTCCACGTCAAAAAGTTCGAGCTATCCAACTTGACATTAAGATTAAACTATGGGATGCTTCCTTACAGATGATGATAAGGATTTGTTTGTGCAAAGGAGACCTTTCACTGGAAAGTCCATGAGGATTCCTGAAATTCTTTCACTTTCTTTGGTCAATAGTCAAGACTATCTCAAAATGCTATGGATGTTAGATCAAGGAAGAAGTTGATCTCTTCATGATGATGGCAAAATGGTCCTGAGAAGCCTTTTCATACTTGCATGTATGAGTGCACATACACATAGCCACAAATGCCACAGGTCCCAAATCTGCATGAGTTAATCAGTAGTTCTTTATTCTCTCCTCTCCTTGCCGTAACAGCTACTAAGGTGGCACAGGCAGAAAAAATTGCCAATGAATTTACAAGCTTTCCAGCATACCGTTTTGAATCACTTTACACTGCTCTCCAAACTTACTTGTTTTTATATAATGTATGTACACTTACTGTGCATAATAATCTTAGATCAGGCATTTTTTATTTTAGCTCCTATTAAAAATATGTAAATCAATTCCATACACCTTTTTGACCCAAACAAAGAATGCAAAAGGATTTTAAGTCAGAACAAAGTACTATCAAACAAGAAATGTGAAACCTTATATCATAATATCAAAAGGAATATATTTCTGGTCAACTTCTTTGAAGTTGGCATTTGTCATGTGTTTTATAAAGACACTTGCTTTAAAATGTATAATTTAATGCACCACATTAATGCTAGTAAGTTTCTGCCCATTCAGAAAAATAAAGACAACTACATCAGCATTCTTGAAGGAATCATACAGCATTTAATCAACTGATCCATGATAGTTTAAGATATGTGATTTTGCACAAAAGCATCACTCCTCTGGAATTGTTCTTCATTGATTCACTGTAGTAATATGTGTCGATCACCATGTTTTAGTAAATAGAACACATGCAACAATCAACATATAAGATACAATTGTAAATTTTAGTGCCTGATTTGAAATATAAGAATCCACGTATAAAATCTTAAAAGTGGATTCTGTTGTAAATTCATAGAGGCAGCTGGAAACATTTTAGCTATTGTCACTGTCATCATAACCTTTATTGGCATAAACATTTTAGCTATTTTAATAGAAGCGTTAGCATAATCTCACTTGTACATAATCTTACAGAAAATTTCCTGGGATAATCTATTGGCTGGATCCTACTGGGATGTGGGAAAATGTTGTGTGACTAGATCCAGCTGTTTGCAACTAACTGAGGAAGCGCCAGGATACATCGTGCTTGCACAATCAGTGTGTGACCAGGCAGGCAAGCAAGATATGTTCAGGCACTGCATCAATTAACTGCAATTAACCATGGTAAATTACAAAACCTGATACAAATGCCAACATGATCTTGGCTGTTATTTCACTCTCTTGAAATTGCCAGGAATCTCCATCTCAGAGCCTCTTTCACAGTGTTGTTCAACTCCTAGAGAGAGATAATTATTTATATTCAAAGACATACAGTGGTTTTTTTTTTAAATGAGTCCATTCGGTGTAATACAAATTAGGAGTTTTTCAAAGTAAGTGTACAAAGTCAAAAACTTCTCTGGACACATCTTCCCCAATTATTTTTTGAATATGACTCCTGATCTGCAAGTACAGAAAAAATACAGGAGATTTGTTCAAGTCATAAAGGAATGAGCAGCATTCTTTTGGGTTAGTGGGGCCTTTCACATATCTTAATAACAATCCCTAATTAGATTTTGATGCAAGTTTTTTTAAATTGACTAAATCATATCCAGTGTGGTGTAGTGGATAAAGTAATGGACCAGGACTCAGGAGATTTGAATTTGAATCCCCACTCAGCCATGGAAATACTGTACACTGGATAGTGGAACTGGTAAAACCATCCCTTAGATATCAATTGGAAAGTCCCATTAAAGTCACTATAAGTCAGATCCAACTTGAGGGCACATAATACACACCAAACATACCCAATTTGCACACACACACACACACCCTTTAGTCAGCCAGCCATGATGAAGATTCGCTTTAAGTACTGTAATTGCATCCATTGAAGTCATTGCTACCAGTATGGCTACATGATAATGATATATAAACTTTTGTACAACTAAACCACTCTCACAAGTGTTCCTTTTGCAAGATGCTGATCCATATGTACTTGTGTATTGTTTATTTATCTATTATCATTGTTGGGATTCAAACTAATAACGTAAGGACGAAAAATGCACTTCAGGGAGTATTTGCACTTTCACCTGTGTCCAGGAAACATATACAGTATTTAATTCTGTTGCCCTTCTTGTCTAATATTTATTAGAACCTGTATGTACTTATCCTCTCTAAAATTGTGTACATTATTTGGAAAAAAAATCAGTTCAATTTTAGGTTCTGTTGCTTGGACAAAGCAACAGTGTAACTCTGACACCTTCCAACTCTGAATCCTAACGATTCTGCTTTGATTTGACTTGTTGAAGAAAAGAAAAAGAATTCCGAAAACGATTGCATCTTCCATGGGTGCCAGAAGAGGGCGCTGTGAAATCGAAATTCCGCGGGTCATGGCTCGGATTGTCGCTTTAAACAGACGCCGGGCAAGGAAGCTGTGCTAGTTTGGGCGGAAGTAAATGGTCGTGGGGAGAGGACTGGGGTGCGACTTCAGCTGGATTTTCGCACCGCGAAGGTGCTGTTAGGTAAGCCTTTCGCCTCTTTTCCTCTTAGAGACCGTAGAAGACTGAGGGCAGGCATTGTGGGATCTCCAGCTGCCCTTCCGCTTTACCGGGGTCCGTGTAGCCTTTCGGCGGAGGGAAGCAGCTGCTGGTCGCCAACAAGAAACGCCGGAAAAAAGCCCGGTCGAGGCTGATTGGGACCTTCTCATTTCCAGCCAGTTAGTTCTAAAATGCCCCCAAATAGGATTCTAAACAGGACTCCCCGAGTGGGGAGGTGTTGGGGTTCCCGAGCGAGCAGAATGGCTGAGAAGCCCTCCTCTCTTGCCCGCTTTGCTTTTCTCCTATAACTCGCTGAAAGGGGCGGCGGTCCTAGTCTAAATGGCTGTTCCTATCGTGGTTTTGCCATAGAGAAGGACTCCCCTTCCTCAGACCCAAGAGAGCTGACATGCCTTGGAGGAAGTCATATGTGTTTATTATTACATTTACAGCCTGACTTGCCCGGTGTCTGTGCGTCTTATCTGGGCATGGTCGTCGGCCAACTCGCTGTCTTCTCAACAAGGCTGTAAGGTAGGTCAGGCTGGGAGCAAGTGAGCACTAGTGACCCAGTGAGTGTTCATCGTTCTGTGGGGGCTTGAGCCAGGATTTTGAAGGCCAGTGCAACTCTCTAATCACTTCACCAGGTTAGCTCTCTGGTAGGTAAGGTAATAGGAGTCTGTTTGATAGCCCAGTTGAGGGACTGCTTAGAAGCAGGTGGAGGAATCTGATGACAGCAAGGAAAAATGCCTGATGGGCTGCTGAAGGTGTAAGCAAACAATGGTAGGAGGGAGTTGTGTGTTTGAATTAGAGGGTTCAGGGCTACATTCATAATTCGTCATAGTATCGATCCATTGAAAGCAATGTACTGTAACTTAGTTGTGACTGACAAACCTCATTCATTTCAGGGGTCTATTCTAATAAAGCTAATACGGAATTTTGCCCCAAGGTGAAGTGTATGCAGCTGTGCTTTGACTTTTGTAATATGTAGAGCTGTTAATCTGTTGCTGGTTTTTGAAGAGGGACGTTTAGAGTGTAGTTATTTGTGAAATATAGCCTTCCCTTCTAAACAAGGGCCATTAGCATGGTATAAGAGGTAAACTGCAGATAATACCCTAATTTTCATTGTATATGATATAGCAAAATACAGAAATGTAATATAGCATATTTACAACTCTATTATGCTGGGGAGGAGATGTTCTCTCTGTTAGGGAGAAGAAGATTGTGGAGAGGGCAGTGCAGCTCTGTGGTTTTGAAATTAAAAGCAAAATTCTGGAGTAGTCATGAAAGAACAGTCAAGAGACTGATGTAAGAGTTTGACTGTCCTATAAGGGGAAATGTAACAAGTAAACATATTTATCAGTCCCCTCACTCCAGATTCGCAAAGATTTAGAGGTTTCAATGAGATAAATATGGTTTGCATAATGGTAGTTGTGGGTTTTTCGGGCTCTTTGGCCGTGTTATGAAGGTGGTTCTTCTTGACGTTTCGCCAGTCTCTGTGGCCGGCATCTTCAGAGGACAGGAGTAGTACAGGTACAGAGGACAGGAGTAGCACTATGTGCTCTGGTACTCCTGTACCAGAGCACATTATTAACAACCTCAGATATGATGGCAGAAAGTGAGGAGGAATTAAAGAACCTCTTAATGAGGGTGAAAGAGGAGAGTGAAAAAATGGTCTGGAGCTTAACATAAAAAACCCCTGGGATCAGGAAGAACAACCTTCCGAACATGGCCAAAGAGCCCGAAAAACGCACAACAACCATTAGATCCCGGCTGTGAAAGCCTTTGCGAATACATGGTTTGCATAGTCCACACAAACCGCTGCTTGTTAATGCATGCGAACATCAAGAACACTCACCTACCTAATTTTTAAATTTTAATATCTATTTATGCATATTATAGGTATATTTCCAACCTCAGGCTGTGTCCTCTTGCCACAAACTGCTACTAATTTGTTGGATATTGATTGTTGGCCATTTCTTTCCCAAGAGGATCATATGTATTACTGTTGTAAATGAGAATCATCATATTTAATTTACAGTCCCTTGTGCTCTGGAAGCAGATGCACTTTAAATGTCCCACCCTGGCTGACCTTGAGACTTGAGAAAAGAACAGTGGAAGAAAAATTGAAGATGGAGACCCAGAACCTTGATCCATATCAAGGACTTTGCTCTGTGATAGAAGAATCAAATCAACAGCCTCTGTGCCCCGAAGCCTCTTCCCCCAAGTTATCTGTGACTGAACTGAGCAGGGAATTAGACTCAAAGAGTGAGCTGGTAAGACCACTCTTTATGTTTGGAGGACAAGCAATTGCATTGCAGGTTTAAAGTTATCTACTTTTCACAGCTCTCTATCTCTCTCTCTCTCTCTCTCTCTCTGTGTATTTCTGTCCTATTTCCATGGGATAGACCCAGGATCCATTTGTTTCTAATTATTTAAGATGAAAGAAGAAAAGATAAAAACTACTAGAGCTAACTAAAATGTTTTTCATGCCAGCACAGACTGAGATTCAAGAGGTCCAAAACTATTTATAACATTAGACAATGTGTTAAAAAAACCTGATTGGGATCATGAGGAAATTAATATAAATGGAAAACAACTCAGCCACCTTAGATATGCAGAGAATGTAGTAATTATAACAGATAATTTAAATAACTTATTGAGTGTTTGAAAAATTGAATCTGAGAATGGTGGTTTAGAACTAAAGAACAACAAAATAAAAAGTCATGTCCAATCAAGATGGAAATCCAAATGTTATAATTGATGGCTATCATATAGAATATTAGTTGTGTGCCATCAAGTTGGAACTGACTTATAGTAACCCTAATAGGGCTTTCAAGGTGAGGTATCTAAGGAATGCTTTTACCAGTTCCCTTTCCCCAGTGAATTTCCATGGTCAAATAGGGATTCGAACCCTGTTCTCCACAGTCTACGTCATTTTGCACACTATACCATATTGAGTACCCTCAAAGAATAGGTACAAGAATATATTTAGCTGGGCAGGTAATACAGTGTGGTGAATCTAATCAGAAAGCAGAAATGGAGGTATGAACAAGACTTGTGTGGTTGGCTTTTGGTGAACAAAGTAAAATCTTTAAATAACGGAAATTGTCCAAAATCAGGAAGATCAGTTTATATTTAGTGTACAGTGGGGTCTCTACTTAAGAACTTAATCCGTATTGGAAGGTGGTTCTCAAGTTGAAAAGTTCTTATGTTGAATCTGCATTTGAATCTGAGAATGGTGGTTTAGAACTAAAGAACAACAAAATAAAAAGTCATGTCCAATCAAGATGGAAATCCAAATGTTATAATTGATGGCTATCATATAGAATATTAGTTGTGTGCCATCAAGTTGGAACTGACTTATAGTAACCCTAATAGGGCTTTCAAGGTGAGGTATCTAAGGAATGCTTTTACCAGTTCCCTTTCCCCAGTGAATTTCCATGGTCAAATAGGGATTCGAACCCTGTTCTCCACAGTCTACGTCATTTTGCACACTATACCATATTGAGTACCCTCAAAGAATAGGTACAAGAATATATTTAGCTGGGCAGGTAATACAGTGTGGTGAATCTAATCAGAAAGCAGAAATGGAGGTATGAACAAGACTTGTGTGGTTGGCTTTTGGTGAACAAAGTAAAATCTTTAAATAACGGAAATTGTTCAAAATCAGGAAGATCAGTTTATATTTAGCGTATGTTGCCAGTACTGATCTATGCTGCATAGATATGGATTCTTGCAAAATCTGTAGTGGAAGAACTTGCAAAAACTCACAGACAGTTGCTGAATATTGGACTAATAAAGAAACTGGAATATTCAACAAAACATAAAAACAATACACATAAAAAGAACAAATAGCATCATGAAAATGGAGATGGGCAGGCAACACCATGGGACAAATAGGACAATTGAATAAAGAAATCTAACAGTGGTGACCTTGGATCAGAAGGAGGATCACAGGCTAGATGATAGTAAGAAATCATCAAAGCTAGAATGGATTAGAATAGCACAAAACAGAGATTTGAGGGAGCAAAAAAGAGATGCCTATATCTAACATTAAATGACAATGGGCTAATAACAAAAAATAATAATAAAAGGTCAGTAGAAAATCTACAGCTGTACTAGTAATTTCTGGACTAGAAATTCATGTGGGCTAGATAATTACTCTTCATAAGTGACAACTGTCCCCAAAGTACTTTACAGGAACTAAAGCCAAAACAACTTACAATTAATAAATTAAATCATTGAAGTAAAAGAAGGTGCCACTGGATATAAATTATGCTACATGTTCCCCTATCTCCAGATACTCTAGCTGTGACCCGGGCTTCTGCCTATCCTTCCTCTCTATACCATCCTAGGGCCACTATATATGTGGTGCTCCTTGGCTGCCAGAACTCTTGAAGTGTCTTTACAAAAGCAGTGGCAGTTGGAGCAGTAGAGATGGAGGTTTTGGGTCCCTAGAGTGACAGTTTGCCCTAGATGAAGGATGAGCTTTTCTTTCTCTTTCCCACCTTAAAGACTAGGTGTTCTGACCATCTTGCAGTCCTGGGTTTTATGTTGGTAGTTACCAATAATTCAAAGTTGCATTCAGTAATAACCTAGATCTCATGAGCAACAGTGGTCCTTTAGATGTTTTTACACTTGATCTCCCATAATCCCCTCACTGCTGGTTTGCAGTGATTAAAGCTGCTGGGAATTATAGGACAAAAATATGGGCAAATTGCCCCACTCTCTATCAAGCTCATAACTTTATTCCAATTCCTTATTTACCGTGTATTGTGTTGAATAGCTCCTAAGTAAACTTATGTTTAGGAAGCATCCAGAGCAAGAATGCTTTGCAAGTGTGGCATATTTCACTGTAGAAAGTTGTCAACTAGCATTTTGACAATAAAACCTAAAATATTTGTTTCTTTTTCAGATAGATGATAAAGAGTTTGATATTCCTCAGGTTGATACTCCTCCAACACTGGAAAGCATTTTAAATGAGGTTAGTTGAATATATATGCATGTTTTCCTGTTCCTGTGTGGCTTTTTTACTCACCAGTACTGTTTTATTCATATTGAACATTCCTTTAACACACTACTTAATGTATGGTTGGCAAACATACACAGTGCTGTTATGTAATATTGCTAAATTGAACTTTTGTATTGGAAAGCTGGATAGAGTGATTAGCACATTATTTGTCTTTTTCTGTCAGACCGATGATGAAGAAGAGCCATTTGTTCTTGAGGACCCCTCTCTTCTAAATATTGACAATATTGACACACATTCATATGATACATCATCTGTAGCAAGTTCTGACAGTGGAGACAGGACACACCTGAAAAGGTAACATTGTGGCAGTTCTGTGTTCTAAATAATGAACTTGGGAATATTAATTGATATCTGCATGAATGGATCCCATGCTCTATCTCATTACTTTAAAACCCACTGTACTTGTTATTTACAAGTGATTATTTAATGTGTGTTCTAAAGATCTTGACTGATAGACTAATCTCTTACGTCCTACTCAGACTTTTCTATCTGTGTAATCTTTTAACAAATACCCTACATATGGCTTTTAAAACTATAACGCAGTAAGATTCTTGGGTATTTTCAATTTTTAATTGCCAGGTGTTCTGATGTGAAGTAGAAATGTGTGTTTTCTGTTTTTCTTGGTGTGTGTGTTGTTTTTATGCTTCTCTCTGATTTTTATTTACTGGGCTGAGCGATCCAGTACTTGCATAATGCTGGGATGGGAGATACTTTAATGCTATGTTGTTGTAATGACTGCCATTATTATGTGCACTCAGTCCATAAAGGAAGAGGAAAAGCACACAGTTCTGCCTCCCCCCCCCAAAAAAAAATTAAAAATAACTGGAAGAACAGCCTGTGCACTTGTACCTTTCATCTCTGGGACAGATACATCACCAATCCTCTTCTACTGAGCACTGTAGTGTTATTTTAATTCCCACATGCTGATGATATTTACAGGGAATTAGTGAACTCAAGATGATGGGAATGTAACCTTAGTGGACATGTGTACAAACATATGCATGGACTTACATCACCATGTGTGTGCCAGCTGATGTCATAGAGTTAAGAGTATCAGTCCTTTAATATTTGCTGGGCCATACATTGCCTGCCTCTCATGTGGCAGCTCTTCAGTATAGTATAGTATTATCTTATTAATTCTTCTGTCATATTTGAAAAAAATGTCACAGTACTAGTACTCTGTCAAAAGGCTAGTCAGAGTTTATGAATGTCAAATAAGGTTCTGTGTATTTTTCCCTTACAAAGGAAGAAGAGACTTCGTGACTCCTTTTCTGTTCATGGCTCAGTTATACGACTATCACTTTTGAAAGGAATTTCTGCACAAATAGTATCTGCAGCAGTAAGTGTATTTTCTTCCCTCTTTCAAGTTTGTCAGTTCTGTCAAATGAACAACACATGTTATACACAAGTTGGGAGGTGTAGCAGTAGAGCATGAGCTTTATATGTGTAAGGTTTTAGGTCTTGGCATATCCAGATATAAGTATCTCAGAGCTGGAGCCGAATAAATAACAGTATTGAGTAGGTGAATGGTTCACAGGTACAGTATTCAATCCAGATATCAGTTGCTATGGTCCTAATTGGAGGTACTCGTTTGGTATGAAATATGTTGGTGCCAATATCTTTTGCACGTTTAACTTTTTCTCATTGAAAATGTGTTGGAAGAGTCATGTACGTAGACATATTGTATGTTGATTGTAGACATGTAGTGAAAATACAAACATTGTATTTTTAAGAGGGAAAGATTCATTAATTTCTGGACAACATTAGCTATACAGTGGTGCCTCGCTTAACGGGCGCCCCGTTTAATGATGAAATTGCATAGCGATGAAGATTTTGTGATCGCAAAAGTGATCGCATTGCAATGTTTTAAATGGGCAAAAATTGATTTGCGATGATCAGTACCCTGTTTCGCTTACTGATCATCGCAAAGCGATGATTTTTTAACAGCTGATCGGCGGTTCCAAAATGGCCGCCGGGTAAAAAAATGGCCGCCCGCTGTTTTTTGGGACAGATTCCTTGCTTACCGAGCAGCGAAAATGGCCGCCCTATGGAGGATTTTAGTTTAAAGGTGAGTCTGAAGCCCATAGGAACACATTGAAGGGGTTTCAATGCATTCCTATGGGCTTTTTAAAATCCCATAGTGACGAACTCGCTTTGCAGCAATTTTTGCTGCATCGATTATCGTCGCTATGGGAGGCACCACTGTATTATGATGCAAATTCTAATGTCCATAGTTCTCAAAATGAGTTTAGGATTGCATGTAAGTATCTTTTAGCCAGTTTTGGTGATGATCAGACATAAAAACAATTCTAGGAGGAGGATGGAGGGTATGTGCAATACCATATCATTGCCTCAAGACTCGCGTTGCGGTAACTCTTGTCCTCAGCCCTTGTACTCTATTCCAGTCTGGAATGATCAAAGCTCTGATTATTTAGATGTAACGTGCTAAATTTCCACACTCCTTATACTTGATGTGTGCATGTTAGAATCTGAATAATTGCTTTTTCTAATGGGAGCTATAGGCCAAAACAGTGGACAAGAACCTAGGAAAGAGGGGTGAACTCAGATAAGTATATTGGGCTTTGAAATAATTTTGTGTTTCAGACTCTGGATTAATTTAGTCTACATCTTCGAAGGGTTTATTGACAGGATTTTCACTGTACATCTTTTCTTTCAGGCCAAGGTGGATGCTGGCTTACCCACTGCAATAGTAAGTTTCTGAAGAATTCTGGAATATCTTGCAGTGCATGTATTTGTTTGACTAATTCTGTCTTGCAAAGTTTGTCTTACTCCTGGATACGGTTATTTAGCATTCACAGCCTGTTTTCCAAAGCTATTTTTTTATTGATTGATTGATTGATTGATTTGATTTGTATCCCGCCCATCTGGTCTATGCGACCACTCTTTACATTATTTACATATTTACATTAATGAGCAAAACTGTGAGTAAATGTACGTACAAAGCTAAAGCCCCACTGACAAAATACAATTAATTGCAGTATTCATTTAATGCGAATTACTTTGTATCTCCCCTTCTTGGATGCACACCTTAACATGCTGAAGAGGTTTGAGTGTGTCAGTGAAGCCGAAAACAATGCCATTAGAAGGCCAGACTCAGTTGTAAGTTTGGACTTCTAGCAGGGTCACGCAAGGTGGAGTGATGACATCTGGGACACCAGACTAAGATGCATCCACCTTTTTCAGTCAATGACAGTCAAACTAGCTTTTGTTAGTACTGTGCAAAATGTGGAAATGGTAAACCCCTGCTGAACTTTCCTTATCATGAAAAACCTATGATTGAATAGTCCAAAACAAGAGATAGGCTTGAAGATCAGACTCCCAGGTTGGAAACCACTGCTCTAGAAATGAGAAACGCAGAAGAAATTGTGTGGTTCTAATACTATGGGAAGATGTAGCACAGGCAGTTAAGGACTATAATGCAATGTCTGACTGAATAATATTAGACTCCATGGAAAGCATATCAACATAATCATCATCTGAGCCTCTGCACCAGCTACTGATGCTGAAAAATATAAAATTGAAAGCTTTTATTCAAGCACCCTATGTTCTTTCTAAGCTATGCATGTGCAGAGTTCCATCAGGGCCGTGTACTGGCAGCCAGTGTTGTTGGCTTAGTTGTGGTTTCTTCTGGAACACTGTGTGTGTGTGCACATGCACAGCTGAGCTGAAAATTACAGGGAACTTTGCAAGCATCCAAAAGGAAATTGATCACATACTGAAACAATATATTCTTATAATAATAGATAACCGGAATGCAAAAGTAGGAAACAAAGCAGAATCAAATGTCATTGGAAAATTTGGTCTAGAGGACAGAAATTAAGTAAGAGAACAATTAATAGAGTTTTGTGAATCCAACAGTCTGTTTATTGTGTTTACATGCTTCAAACAGCCAGCCAGACAAATGTACACATGTACACCACCAGATATAGAAATTAAATAGACTATGGAATTAGAAATGGGAGATGGAGAAGCTGTATTCTCTCTGCCAAAAGAAAGCCAGGAGCAAATCATGGAACTGATCATGAACTGTTAATATCCAACATTTGAATAAAGCTGAAAAAGAACAGTAAAATAATTATAATGCTAAAATATAATTTGAACAATATTCCTGATGAATTTAAAGTCCACATAAGGAACAGATTTGCATTACTAAACTCAATTGACCATGAAGACGAACTGTGGATTGAAGCCAGACGTATAATTGGGGAAGAATGCAAAAAGACAATTCCTGTTGTAAAAAGAAAAGAAAACCTAGATGGATGATGAAAAAAACATTTAAACCTGTAAAGGACAGGCAAGAAGCGCTTTGATTTGTGTTCAGAAATGGACTGATAGCCAAGTGAAGCTGTTGTAGCAGATAATTTCTAGTCTTGCTGCCAGCCACTAAAGATTCTGTACATGAACCAGAACTAAGCAAATGCAGCCCCACATACAGCACATTACAGTGGTGCCCCGCTTGACGATTACCTCGTTAGATGAGGAAACAGCTTAACGATGTGTTTTTTTGCAATCGCAAAACGATGCTTAGATAGGGAAAATTCACTTTACAATGATCGGTTCCCTGCTTCGGGAACCGATTTTTTGCTTTACGATGATCAGAAAACAACTGATTGTTGTATTTCAAAATGGCCACCCGCTGTTTAAAATGGCTCCCCACTGTGTTTAGGAAGGCTTTTTCGCAAGACAGGCACCGGAAAATGGCTGCTCTATGGAGGATCTTCGCTGGACAGTGAAGTATTTTGCCCATTGGAACAGATTGAACCGGTTTTCAATGCATTTCAATTGGCTTTTTCATTTCCTTGTCAAGTGAGGCACCACTGTATAGTAGTTTACAGTAGTTTAATCAGGATGTAGCTAAAGCGTATGTTGCTGTGGCCAGATTGGACTTCTCCACGAAGGTTGTGGCTGGCCCATTAGCTTTAACTGGAGAGATAAAGTCCTGGCTATCTCCAGAACCTGGATAGTCAGGTGTAGGAATGAATCCAGGATTATACCTAAGCTTTAAACTGAAGCATTCAGGTGGAGAGTTCCCATCTAGCACAGGCAGAATCCCTTTCTCCTAGTCAACTGATCATAGCTATCTCTGTCTTATACTGGTTATGTTTCAGTATATTGATCTTCATCCAGTATATTATTGACTGCAGACACCAGTTTTAGAATGGAAACAACACTCTAGTGTTTTCATGGGAAGAAGAAACAGATTTGGGTACCATCCACATACTAGCGATGGTGAACTCCAACAGGTAGAAAACACTGAAATGGACATAACGATAACACATAATATTGCAAGAAATTTTATCTTTTAGTTCCGTGCACACACAAATGGAAATTCTATTTGCCAATGGCCTATATTCGTGTTTCCTGTGGCACATGGCCCAGTTCGTTTCCAGGTGTCCCTTTCCCTCTCAATCAAGCTTTTACAAGTGCTGTCCCTGCGCCTCAGATTCCTTGTTCCCTGGGATAAATCCACTAGTCTGCAGAACTTACATGTCTACTTCATCTAATTCCTCATATTTCTAAATTTGAATGTTTTTTGTTTGTTTAGGCAGCATCAAATCTTATTGCGGTGGGAACATCCCATGGTTTAGCACTTGTATTTGGTAAGTGAGAGTATCTGTTTATCTGTTTAACCATGAGCAAGTCGTGCTGAATTTAGTTTCTACTGAATTTTATGAAACTCTGTATCCAAAATAAAATTGGGTTTCTACAAAAATATTTGATTATGTAAATAATACCAGTACAACTGGACTTAAGAGAATAATCTACACATTCATTATATGGTTTGTTAGTTATATACTTGTTTAAGTTCAATTCAATTTAATAGGCTTTCTGGATTTAAAATATTTTATTTCTTTAATTAAAAGAATAATTTATGCTCAGACAAGAATTGGCTCTTGTCTGTCATTCTTATATGACATTTGAAGACTATCATGAGCTGTGCATGAAGTTTGTACTTCTTGTGACAGAGAAATTTATATATGTCCCTTCTCTCACAAATTGATATGAAATGAGCCTCCTACTGAATGGAGAGGTTTTATTGGGTTAATCAATCTATTATTCCTTTGTTTCCCCCATATTGACTTCTGATGTTTCTTTCTCCTTTGACTTTTTTTCCTCATGGACTGAGAAGGCAAAGGTATAGTACTGTTGCATTATGCATGTAACCTGCATGAATTGCTGCACATTTTAAGTTGTGCTACAGCAGGGCTGTCAAGTTTAAAATAAAAAGGTCTTTAGGGCTTTAAACTTTATTACATTTGCGCTTTTCAGCCTTGAAGTGTTAGTAGGAGGTAACATGTACATTCTACCCCTGGCAGCCAGTTTCCACAGAGAGAGTTCTCATCTATTTGTCTTCTAAATTACAATTAGCTTGATGTGAGCATGGAGTGGGAGGGTGAGCCTGGATTGCCTTTAGTCTCACCTACAAAGAAGTAGGTTACACACACCTTGTTTCTTTTCTCAGCCATTCTGTCCCTTACCTGGGCATAGTGAAAGCCCAGGGATTGTTTAAAAGGCCTGTGTGAATAGAAAGATTTCTACATGATCTTGAAAGTCCATGAGGAATGAGACTCTTCCATAACCAGAGAGTGACATCTCTGTATAGCCATGTGCCGTATTATATTGGAGAGGGGGCACATGGAGCATAGCCTTCAGAAAGAGCGAGGATGCATTTTCCATATTGTTGATGAATTAACCCAAAGCTCTAGATGTTGAGATCCTAACCAGTGGTTTCATGTAGGCATTGAACACCACAAGGAAAAAAACAATAGATCCACATAGGACTAAAAGCACAATTGCCAATCATTTAAGTAATAACGCCAAATAGTACCGCATTCTGAAGTCATCCCTTGAAGTAGGAATGGAACTACTGTACTGGAAATAGTGCATTTCCTGAATGACTTGGAAAGCATTTCAAGAAAGATACTGTGATTGATGGTTTTAATAGTAGCTGAAAGATCTAGGCGTATCAATGGGCTCATTAACATATCTCTGTCCCAGCAAAGGTCCTCATGCAAGGCAATTGAAGCAGTTTCAGTCCTAAATCCAGTCCTGAACCATATATTGAAATGGATCTTGAAAATTAGTTTCATCCAAAAGGGATGACATTTTACTGACCAACATCCATATCTTGCCCAGGATGTTAGTCAGTGATCTGTAGGTTTTAACATCTTTTGAGTCCAGATTTGCTTTCTTCATGTGCAATTGAATTGTTGATTTTAAAAAAAAAAAATTTAAGAGGTTAGGATCATAGGTACTTACAGCCTTTTGGTGCAGCTGATTCTTCCTTTCCAATTCAACACATAAGGGTCTGGCTGAACATGAACTATCTTGTCCAGATCCCCTCTTGTAGCACTGATGGTGCTAGTTCTCAGTTTTCTTGGTTTCATTGACTATTATTCTCTTCCATAATAGAATTTTTAAAATTCTGTCTTGTTGTCATATGTTGCACCTTCTTATATTCATTTGTTGCTGCTTCTGTTTTTCCTCCTAAAATTTCCATGGGCATATACTTAATGGGAACTATATTTTCCCTCAATCACATGTCACAGGAATCTATGGTTATGTAAATAGAAAAGGCATGTGTGAGTCCACAGCATGTTACCAGTTGTCTAAACAATGGCCAAACTCCTTTTGGTACAAAGTTACACAATGGAAGCTAGTTGTTGCTATCATCTGGCAAAGAGAATATTTGATTTCAATGAATTGAAAGCTTCCTATTACCCATTTTAGGTTCCAAGGCTCCCTGGGGCTCTGTTTTGCCAAGGGGAATCTTTTGGGAGCCTTGGGGTGGGGAAGAGGAACCCTTTAATAGTAAAAGACAGCTGCTGGATTGCGACTAGTGGTCATCATCTTACTGGCAGTGATCTGGTAGTGATTTTTAACTACTGTATTAAAAGCTCTGTGTGTGTCTCCTCCCCCCCTCAGGCTCCCAAGGGCATCCTCAGGGCAAAAGGGCATCCTGGATTGCCTTGGAACCTGAAATGAGGGGATAGGAAGCTTTCAATTCATTTAACTATTTCTTTTGCTGGTTGAAAACATAATCTGGTTTCTGCAGAGTAACTTTACAGAAGAGAAATTTGCATATGTGAGGTCTGAGTTGAGCCAGTTTGAATTTTACCTTTATTTCTGTATGTGAAATCTCTATTATTTGTGTGTCTCTAAGTTAACTACATTTGGTTTTTATTTAGATCCTAATCAGGCTCTTCGGCTTTGCTTGGGCAGCACTGCAGTTGGAGCACAGTATGGGGCTATATCTGCTCTTAGTATCAACAATGATTGTTCAAGACTTCTATGTGGCTTTGCAAAAGGACAGGTAATCTTGATATAGAGCATAATCCTGTGTATGCATATACTCAAGCAAGTCCCACTGAGTTCAACTCCTTGCTCTCAAGGAAATGTGCAAAAATGCAGCTGTGAAGAGTGGTGATTTTTTTACAAGGTTCCTGTTGCTTGTCCATAATTTGAAAATTAGCTTTGAACCGTGGCTTATCTGTCAGTGCTGTTTACTATAGAGAGACTGGTGTCTAAAAGCTGTTGAGCCCAATATTATCGATGTAAAAAAAACAGCAACACATACAGTATATCCCTCAGTTTACTTTCATATAGTCTGTAGGACCTTACTGTATTTTAATTCCAGAAACTTTAATTTCCAGAACAAAAACATTATATTAAGTCCTGACAGGCCTAGAAAAGCTCTGTAAAAATTGATGAACCAAAGTTTGTAGAAAGAGTCTAATCACCTCATTCAGCTGAGCAAGTAACAAGCTGACCAGTCTGATTTAATCCAGCTGTGGAAACAGAATGGTGGGGTAAAACCCTGGGGAAGCTAATACCTATTGGAATGGAAGAGAAGACTCATGAAGAGAAGACTCCTTTTCATGAAAAGAGAAGACTTGTTGGGAAAGACCTTGATGCTATGAAAGTGTGAAGGCAAGAGGAGAAGGGGACAACAGAGGATGAGATGGCTGGACAGTGTCTGTATGAGAACCAGCATGAATTTGACCCAACTACAGGAGGCAGTGGAAGATAGGAGGGCCTGGCATGCTCTGGTCCATGGGGTCATGAAGAGTCGGACATGACTAAACGACTAAACGACGATTGGAACGGACTAAGACAACTCTGCATGTATGACTCTAATACTACTACAAACAATACAGTTTTTCTTTACCTTAAGGGACTCTCATTCCTCTACTTGTCTGCATACTGGCACCTGAGTTAGATAAAACTCTGCTAGGGCTAAGGAAAAGGCACTGCCTAAACCTCAAGTCCCTATTGAGTCCCTTCAGTGCAGAAAGAATGCAAAGAGAGAAAACTTTAGATTTGTTGTTTTGTTCTAAACTAACTTTATATCCAAATTCCTCATAAACTTTAAAATAATCATTTTAGTTAGATTTAAGATTATGCATGTTGTGAGTACAAAGTCATAGCCCAGTCCAGTTAAATTGGACAGCTGGGAAAATTCTGAGGTTTAACCCTGCCTTCCTCCTCCTCTCTTGGGTTCATCCAGTCCTATGTTTCCTGATAATTCTGGTTTCCTGACATTGTCTGCATCCTCATATTCTCAGTTCCTTGTGAAGGTGTATTCCTGTATGTCTTACACTTCAGTATCCAGACTTGACAAGACATTCTGCTTTTATTTGAAGCCATCTAGAATACACCTGTCCATGTGATCGGGTTCTGATAAAGCAGTGAACACCATTAAGAGCGCCTGTGTAAAAATCAATGTTTTTCTCATGAGAAGGTGTGGAAGATTGGGGATGGAAGTGGAGGTTCATGGTTGTGTTGTAAAAATACAGGATTGTTTTACTCTGGCAGGAACCAACCTTTTGGGTACCTGGAGAGAAAGAGAATTAATATGACCTGAAACAAGAATTTGGATTTTATAACAAAGGATTTATAAAAAGATACATTAATAGTTTCTACAGAAAGGAAGTGACAGGAGTCTTAGATCATGTCAACTCAATAGAAAAGAAGAGGTTTATCTTTATAGGACACAAATCATAACAAACTAGAGAAATAGGATCAAGAGGTTCCATAGCCAAGGGAAGTCAAAGATAGTTTGACCAGCCATCCTGCTCTTGGCCTCTCCTTGGCAAGTAACATGAGATGGACAGGGGCACATGTACATGTATGGAAACCTTTAGGTTACTGAGGCACCTTCACATAACCTTGTTCACACATTGTATGGAGAGAAGCAGGATAATTCACTACTAGGCGCTACATGTTACCATCCTGTTCTATTGTGTTCTGTAAATGTTAAGTGCTAAAGTATGAAGCTTTGTTTCCCGTCTCTTATCTGTTCTGTTCCCTAGACAGAGTGGTGACAACTGTGTTTCTCAACCTTGATTTTCATGAGAAAGCAATTACAGTGGTGCCTCGACATGCAACCATAATCTATTCCAGAAGATGGAAGTAACTCAAAATAGTTGTTAAGTCGAAGCAGCATTTCCTACAGGAATGTATTGGAATGGGATTAATCCATTCCAGCAGAAAAAAAGTCACAAAAAAACCAACCCACAAGCCAGCCCCATCAGAACATGATGGGGCTGAAAAACAAAATAAAAACCACATACACACACCACAGTCAGCCCCATCGGAATGCGATGGGGCTGAAAAACACAATAAAAACCACATATACACACCACAGTCAGCCCCACTGGAATGCGATGGGGCTGAAAAAAACACACAAAACACACACACACAGCACAGAAACATACCCCCCTAACCTGCGCTGCGAAAACAAAGTAAATGTACTTACTCACCACACACACACACACACACAGAGCACAGAAACATACCCCCCCAACCTGCGCTGCAAAATAAAGTAAATGTGCTTACTCATGATCAGAAAGCAACACCAGGCAGTCCAAAGCTGCCTCCGACGCACACTCTCTAACTGTTGGGGCAAAAGAGCTACAAAGAAGCTCTTTGCCGACCAACGTTTAGTCCTGTAATTTGAATCCCACGCCTTTTTCCCCTGCCTCTTTTGATTGCAACTCGAAGCTCTGGCCGCAAGTTGAAGCAAAATTTTGCAGCTGGAGCTGGTCGCAACTCAAAATGTTGTTATGTCAAAACGGTCGTGTCGAGGCACCACTGTATTATTCTGGTGTTTAGCAGATGGGGGAATTCCTCTGGTCAGCTACTTCTTTGAGTGAGACTTTGCTATGCTGCCCTCTGTTAACATAAACATTTATCTTAAAATATATGTATTAAGGAGAAAAGAAGGGGGAGCTTTCCCACAGTTGTGAGAACATGAAGGATCCAGTGTTGTCCCATCCCTCTAACTACTTTTAACCTTCCTGTTTTCAGGCGAATACCTGTACAGTATTATAGCTTTATATCAGAGATTGAATTGGGTCTAATTCTAGCCTCCTTTGTTCTCGGTCTATGTTCTAATAATGATAATGTTAGAATTGCAGAGCTGGAAGGAATGCTGTGGATCCTTGAGTCCAGCCCCTGTCAAGGAGGCACTGTGGGGAATTGAACTCTCAGCCTCTGCAGCCAGAGACATAAACCACTGAGCTGTCCAGCAGTTCTAATAGGTTGCATGTTGGTTCTAATTTGTCTCTGTAGTAATTATACCAATTCAAACACTGCAAATATATACCATAAACTATGAAAAAGAGTGGGTAAAGGAGGTGTCTAGCTGCTACAGTGCTGAAAACAAAATCAATCTTTTTCTCAATTAAGTATTTCTGTGCCAGAAAAAAGTTGAAGAATGTGTGGTGGTATAAATCGGCAGTTTGGGCAAACTTCTCAAAGTTATTTTCATGCTTTGATGGAAAGAGCTTGTGTTAGAGAAAATAAATACTCTTTTGCTAACTCATAGATTACAATGTGGGATCTGGCAAGTGGAAAGCTATTGAGATCTATAACCGATGCCCATCCTCCGGGGACAGCAATTTTACACATCAAGGTAAGAAATGGTTATTTGTTCTGTTTTGCAAGCTGTCACTACTAAAAAGAATTGTGTGAAGTTTTTCAGACTATATTAAATTTTGCTTTAAAAATTAATTGAGGGCTTGTGACATTTGGGGTTTGTAAAACTCTAAATCTCAGAATTCTCCATTGTGGTAGTTCCATCTGTCACATGCACATCTCAATTGAGCTCACCTGGATAAAGGGCAACTGGAAGGCTTCAGAGCTTAGGATACTTGCAGGGACTCCCAGCAATGGCACATGTCTAATAAATTCTGCTTTAAAAAAAACAACCAGTTTTTGTTGTTCTTTCTGAGTGTAGCTGAATTGCATCATATTTGGCATAGTTGTCTGGCTAGCACTTTCCTGTAATATGGGACACCAGAAAGTATTGACACATGGGTAGGAAAGTAGGAGGAAACTGGTGAATGTTGCAAGAACGAATGGGTATTATAAGATGGTGGTAGTGGACGGTGCTGAATGGGAAAAGGAAGAGAAAGAAAGAGACAGTAGGGGGAAATTAAAGGAAGTTCAAGTACTTCTTTAGTAAAATATTTCCATGGGGTAAAATTAATCTTCTGTTTAGTTTACAGATGACCCAACTCTAGCAATTTGCAATGACAGTGGAGGCTCAGTATTTGAACTGTCATTCAAGTAAGAATATTAGTGTTCATTGTGCAAGCAAAAATGTGAAATTGCATCCCTCGAATTAACTTGCTATGCAGTATTGCAAGCAACAGTAATGCTCAAGATTTTAAGATTAAAGGATTGAAGCTAAAATATGAGAGACAACCTCAGTGTGGTATATTTTCCTGTTCTCTTGAGAATCCCTGTTTTGCTGTTGATCTGTTCTAGAGAATGCTGTTTCTTCAGAAATTTCACGATTTTATATTTTACAGAACACCTTATAGAAGGTATATTGGTATAAGACTACCATGTTACTTGGTTTTAGGTTCTAATACATATGGCCGTTAGTCATTATCACTGCACAAAACTTGGTTGCTCAGGAATAAAGTTCAGAAAGGCTGTTGCTTTCATATCCTGCTTACAGTCTTCCCAGAGATATCTCACTAGACTCTGTGAGATGCAGGATGCTAAATTAGACTTATATCTAAGGTCAGCTACAAATACCTTGGACAAGTCACCGTTTCTCAGTCTCACTTTTGAATTCTTTGGAGAAAGGATATATTATGAATATAGTAAATAATAATGCCATTATGTAACTTGATATGCATGTATGTGCTGGGAATCTATGGTTTCTGATATGTGTGTATACATATTTATTTAACCCCCCAAGCTGCCATCACCTCTTCGAGCCCATGGGAAGGTTGAGGTGATGGGGGCAGCGGCAATAGGAGTGGCAGCAGGTAGGCCAGCCGTCAACAGCTGAGAGGCAGAGATGGGCCCGAACCACCCCAAATCTGTTCATTTTCCGGGTGGTTGATGGTGGTTCATGGTTAGCTACAAACTATCACGCACCACCATTTTTCTGGTTCGTGCCCATCTCTACTTAGTTTATAAACATAAATATAAACATTTGGTGTCAACTGTGCTGTTGTATAGTTGTTCCTACAGTAGCTCCAATTCTTGTCAATAGCTTTCCATAGCTATTTCATTGCCTGCAGTAAACTTGAGACTGTGGAGTATCTGCACAAGAGAAAACCACAAATGCTCTGCTGTTCAGTAACATTAATGCTAGGCTTAGAAATCAATTATTATACCATTTCTGTAATGAAACATATTTTAAAAATCAGGGTTGTTTTCTTATTTTCTTGGTTTTTTGTATACACAAAGTGGTATAATGTATTTTAGCTGTTTCTCTATTCCATGTACTTTGTTTTCAGGAGAGTCATGGGTGTGAGAACATGTGAGTCTCGCTGCTTATTCAGTGGCTCCAAGGGAGAGGTTTGCTGCATTGAGCCTTTACATGCAAAAGCAGAACTGAGAGACCATCCTATCACTCAGTACTCTCTCTTGGCAATGGCTTCCTTAACAAAGGTGACCTGTCTTTTCTGTATGGCATCCTGTTCTAAAATAAATCCTAGAAAACTATTCTCAAGCACAGGAAAAATAATTTTCGTAATAGGAAAAATAATTTTTGTAATTTACTCCAGATTCTTGTCATTGGATTGAAGCCATCTTTGAAAGTTTGGATGACTTTCCCATATGGGCGTGTGAGTATTTTCAGAAACATTTCACCTTTAATTGAGGCACTATGATCGCACATGAGGATTACTCAGGAGAAACATTAGTTTAGGTATCTAAAATATGCAGTACTGCTGTAATCAGAGCTTTTTCCCTAGTTAAATCTCTGGGAGCCGTCGAATGGTGGGGATAAACCTGTGATAGTCACAAATTGCCTCCAGATCGCTGCTGGTGGTCCCAGTCTTGCCAACAGCAATAGGAAAAGTCTGAAAAATATGAAAATCTAGTCTGTACACTGTATAAAGCAGTCTGCTTTGAGGCATCTTGTATATTTCTGTATTTTGCTAGTAGCATGTTCTAATTGGAGATCTATTAAAGAGCTTTGAGTACTCCTGGTACTTTTGGTGTTTGAAACTGGTATTTCTAGTGTCAAATTGTGCTGGGAAGGATTGTGACCTGTTCAAAGTCGAACTGCTACTCCCTCAGTTCGCTTCCCCCCCCCCGCCCCCAGGGGCTGCGTAGAAGACTGGGGCCATGCTTTGCTCACTCATGGCTCAAGAGTACCTCTGCCTCTGTTTGAACTGCTAATTCAATAAATGGTAAATCTTTGACCATATAAAAATGTTTGTATATGTACCTTGTATACAGCAGGATCATGTACAGTAATTTACTGAATTGTCAAGTCTTAAAGCCATTAGTTTTTTTTACTGTGCAAGTACTAGATTGTTTTGTTCTTTATTTTGTTTCGTTTGATGCTAAGAATTGATTGTCTTCCTTTTCTCAGATGGACCCATCTAGCGTTCCATTACTGGCATGGTATTTTGTTGCTTTGCAGACAGCAGTGAATCCTGTCCTTGCCTTCTGTCGAGGAGATGTTGTCCATTTCTTGTTGGTAAGAGTTATGTGCTTAATCAGCTTGGAGATTTCATTTTTAAATACTTATTTTTCTAGAGTGTTTGGCTATTTGATAAAACTTCAGATCCCAGAAAAGGAATGGCTGTATTAGGAGAAGGGTTTCTGTGATAATGTACTTCTGTTTATCAGCTGAGAAAGCCAAAGCATCTCTAGTACTGCAAAGTCTGTTCAGTGCAATAACAGTGCCACTTGGTGTCTCTGAAGGTTTAATGGAATATACTCTGTAGGGCATTTAAACTAAGAATATGAGAAGAGCCTTACTGGATCAGACTAAATGCCTATCTAATCCATCATCAATGGCCAACCAGTTGCCTAAGGAAAGCCCACAAGGAGGGTAGGTATGCAGTAGCATCCTCCTTCCTATGCTTCACAGCAACAGGTGTCCAGAGGCACACCGCCTCCAGTGCAGTGCACATTGTGCAAGGATGGTTTGTGAAGGTGACTCACACTCCTGTGAAACTGGTTAGGATGTTTCTTTGGCCTTCTAACTGTCAGCTGCTGATATTATTGTCTATGGAACTGCTGCTTCAGGTTTCTACTGGTGGCTGGATTCAGTGGCTTCTCAGTGCTTTTGAGGTAGGCTGTGTATAAGTGAATTATGTGTATCAGTAAAATGGAGCTCCTGGAAGGAGTCTCTCATAAATGAGCTACACAGTAGTAATAGGCTAGAGAACAGTAATGGTGAACTGTTGGCCTAATGAAAGGTACAAAAGCCTGTCATTTTGTAACTACATCCCCTGGTTGTGGAGAAAGTAGGAATTTGTGACAATCCCAAGGGAATGAGATGTTAGCTCCCAGTTTGCTTACAAAGAGAAGTTTATTGAGTAACGTGTAGATCGGCAACATGATCCATGATTCATGTTCCAGTGTTTGAGCAGTGCTGGTGGAATTGTTCAGTGTTATAGCAGTGTACATTGAGATTAATATAAGTCGTTCTTCATGTAAATTGTAAGCTAGAACAGCCTTTAATTTTGTAATAACATCCACTCTCTTATTTCATTATCAGGTAAAAAGAGATGATTCTGGAGCCATACATGTTACAAAGCAGAAACAGCTTCATCTACACTATGACCTCATAAATTTTACAGTAAGTAATATTGGCTAGAATGCTGTTAGTATGCCTCTGGTGTAAGTCCATCGGTGTAAATCTTGTTAACAAATCCCTGCTAGATGAGAAGTTGGCATTGCCATTTGGTAGCGCACACTGGTTACATGTGCCAGCAGATGCAGTTGCTGACTTCTTGAGTAGCGATGATCTGCTACTGAAATGTATACCAATGGATTCATGCTGGTGTAGCTTTTCAGTTAGATTCTGCCCAATATGTTTTCTATCCAGGTAGGAAATGCTAGATGCCCAGTGTGGTTTATTGGATAGAGTGATGGACTAGGATTCATGAGGGCTGGGTCCAAATCTCTGCTCAACCATGGAAATTCACTGCGGGTGTAGAACTAATAAAGCCACTCCTTAAATCTCTCTATCTTGAAAGCCCTGTTAGCATCACTATGTCAGCTCCAGCTTGGCGACACATAAGAACAGGAGAGGTTAACATTTTGTGCCCTAAAAGAAATTCAGCTTGGATTCAGCTGGTAACTTTTTTTATTAACCGTTTGAGAAGAAATCTTATCTGTTCTCTTATAGTTCATATTTGACAATTAATAAAACCTATCAGCTATATTTTAACCACTGCGCCACGAGGCTCATTTGTGACCTAAAAGAAATTCAGCTTTGATTCAGCTGGTAACTTTTTTTATTAACAGTTTGAGAAGAAATCTTATCTGTTCTCTTGTAGTTCATATTTGACAATTAATAAAACGTATCAATTAATAAAACGTTGTGACTTAAATACTTCCTCCTGTTTTCCCACTCTAATACAATTATAGAATTTCCTGAATTGCTTTGCTTTATTCCAGAACGGGGTCCTCAAACTTTTCATACGGAGGGCAACATGATATATATTTTGATACTTTTGAGGGCTGAAGGAATGTGTTCATATGCACTCTCGCCCGCCTGCACTCCCACTCACCCGCCTGCCTGCCTGCACAGTCTGGATAAAAAGGCCAGGTGGGCAAGATGTGACCTGCAAGCCGTACTTTGGAGACCCCGTTCTAGAACATTAATGAGAATTATTCAGGTTTGAAGGATATGCAGAGTATAATAATCTTGTCTACTAGAAATAAACACACATAAAGCAGATGTATGTATTTTGTGTTTCCTCAGTTCTTGATTTTTCTCCAGTGCAATGATGCTCAAAGCCTCCATGTTTGGTCCTAAATGGGAGTGGTGGCTATGGTATTGAGGAACATCAACTGCAAGAATTTTTGTCCTATGCATTTAAGGGTTTGCATTTCTAAATCAAACCTTTGGTCCTGGTGGTGATAGTTGAACATTCCTAGGAAAATTATTTCTCCTATCCCTGGTACACAGTGGGACCTTAACTCCCAGAGTGAATTATATGATGCTGCCTCCAGTATTTTGATGCCAGAGGTTTTGAGAGCTTGATAGGACACTGTGATATCACCTGTGCATGTTACTTGACAGTGCTTGCCCTTTTTACTTATTTCTAGTGGATCAACTCCCGCACAATTGTGCTTCTGGATAGTGTGGAAAAGCTTCATGTCATAGACCGTCAAACACAGGAGGAACTTGAAACAGTTGAGATCTCAGAAGTTCAGTTAGTTTATAACAGCAGCCACTTCAAGTCACTGGCAACAGGAGGAAATGTCAGCCAAGCACTGGTACTGCCAAATAAAATATGTACTTAATTAACATTTGTTTGTTTGCTTGCTTACTTGCTTATTTGCTTGCTTGTTTGTTTACATTTTATCCTACCCAACTAGTAGCAAAGCTACTACTCTCATCACCAAACACAACAAAACATAACAATAATAAAAAGTATTTGGTAGATTTATCCTGAAATGTCAACTAAATAAGATATTTTTACATACAAAAAAGTATAGTCTTGTGCTGTATACAGTTTCTCTTTCTAGTTTCTCCTTTTCTTTAGAGCAGTCTTTCACACTCCCAGTGTAACCATCATTCCCTAATTGACACAAATGAACTGAGCAATGGAATACCCTGCGTTAATTTGTACAATAATATGAATGAAAATGTTAGAGACATCAAGAACAGTTGAATTATTGGGCTTCTCTGGCTATGTGTCCCCCTCACCTTTTTCCTTGCCCTGTATTCATACTTATTTTCTTCTTAGTAAAAGAATGCTAACGTACTGTGTTCTTTTCTTAAATCAAAACACTCCATGTTTCATAGGCACTAGTTGGTGAGAAAGCTTGTTACCAGTCGATCAGTAACTGTGGTGGTCAAATTTTTTATTTAGGTACAAAGGTAAGTTACATTTTTGTAATCACTTAATGTCAATTTTTGATTTGTCTGCTAGCTGATTAATCATTTCCTTCTAAAGTGATTTATGTTTTGAACATCTGCCTAATAAGATTTCTATACCGATACCTTTTGAAGATGCTGAAGGAAATGTAGTAACTCATAATCCAGTAGCTAGATTAATAAAGATAAATAATCTTGACTTTCCAAGGCTTCATAAATCATAGTTTATAAAGCTGAGAATGAGTATTAAGGCCAAGCCCTGCTCCCTTTTCAGCACTGAGGTGCCAACTTTAGTGGAAAGATTCGGGTTTGAATTGCCAGACTCCCCTGTTATGACTAAATCAGGGAACAGTCTACAAAGTCCAAATATTTGACATCTGTTTTTCATTAGACATACCTAGTCTTGGGATATAAATCCTAAATTGTGCCCCTTCAATTATGAGGAAATCAACTTTATGATTGAACTTGGCTAGTTTCAAGTAACCACACTGGCAAGATTTGGACAGCACACTGGCTGAAATCCTATCTCTTAGAATAATAAGTTGCACTAGAGTAGATCCATTGAATCAGTATGGATTTGCTAAGTCAACCGCTCCATAAAGTCATTTACATAATTCAAATGGACCTTCTCTAGTTGTGACTTCCTTTAGTATAGTAAGTTTTAACTAGGGGAGGCCAATTTGAATTGATTAAACATAAGAAGAAGTTAACTCCCCAAATCCCCATTGACTTAGCAGGCCACCTCTACTGCAGTTTATTATTATTTCAGCCAAAAAGCTTGAGTTTCACAAAACCCGACCTGAAAACTTCTACAAAAACACACTGATCACCATAATCACCCATCTCCTGAAAAGGACAAAAACTGATCCCACAGCTATAAATACTCAACTACCAAGCAAACTGCACCAGAGCACAGAGTCCTACTCATGTCCTTTGAAGATGCCAGCCACAGAGGCTGGTGAAACGTTAGGAAGAACAACCTTCAGAACATGGCCAAAGAGCCTGAAAAACCCACAATAACCATTAGATCCCGGCTGTGAAAGCCTTCGTGAATACAAATTCTGAAATGTTAATCACAAGCACATCAGAGAACAAGGGAGGGAAGAGAAGTGTGAGTCATCATGGTTTGCTATCCTAATGCTAAATAATGGTTTAGCAAGATGTCTAAAAGAAATGTACAGTAGTGCCTCGCCTACCGATCGCTCTGTTGAGTGATGAAATCGCTTTGCAATGCTGTTTTTGCGATCGCAAAAGCGATCACTCTCCGATGTTTCCTATGGGAGAATTTCACTTTGCGATGATCGCGCGGAAGCGACCATCGCAAAGCCCCCGTTTTCGGCCAGCTGATCGGCAGTTCGGTAAACGAAATGGCCGGGTAAACAAAATGGCCACCCGCTGTGTTGCCTTGCTTTAGAGGCACCCAAAATGGCTGCCGCAATGGAGGATCTTCGCATAAGGTCAGTTCTCAAGCCCATAGGAACGCATTAAACACGTTTTAATGCGTTTCTATGGGCTTTTTTATTTCCCTTAGTGACAAAATTCCTTAGCAACGTTTTTCCTGGAACGGATTAACGTCGCTAAGCGAGGCACCACTGTAAATGTTAACTCACTGTTCTATTCATGATGATTTAGGAATTCATGATTATGATTATGACTTTAAAAAAGCACAACTAATCAGTGCTCTTCGCTTTCGTCTGCTTTCAGTCTGTTCATGTGATGACATTGAGGAGCTGGAGAGAGGTGAGTGAAGAGGGGGTGCATAAACTTATTAAACTCCTTAGCTTCTTGACTTCAGGAATATAGCTGCCTAGAAAACACTTTTTTCCTTCTTAACTAAATAGATGATTAACAGGAAACATTAGTAGCTTAGACTTCTAATAGTTTCATCAATAGATTCTACTATAGCATTTTATGTATTGATGAGATCTTGTCTTCAGTAGCCTTTTCTTACATGATGCAATGCAATGTTTGTCTTGATACTGTTTCAATGCCTCTCTGTGTATATGTTTGTGTGTGAGAGAAGGAGATGAATAAAACTGCTGTCCTCTATATTTCTGGATTTATGTTTTAAGATGGCTTTCATATGTATTGTTGCATAGTTTAAAAAATAATTTTGAAGTATACTAGAAAGCCAGCCCAGGTGGAAAAGGAGGATAGGATTTTTAAAACTAAAAAAAAAAGTCTAGAAATCATGCGGTCACCACTAGAGTAGGCCAATCAGTATAACTTATCGAGGGGTTGACTCACCATATTCTCTCTGATTTAATGGGCCTGTTGTACTTGTGAAGTACTACACTAAGCGACAGGATGTCATCCATAGTATAGTAACTACTGAAACTGCCTAGTGATCTCTGTTAATCAAAGGGCAATTATTTTGATTTTATAACTTGGATTATTTTCAAACTGGTACCTGCTTGTAAAATATCATGTTCCTATTTTTGAATGAATGGGTAATCTGTGATAAATTAGAGGGAAATAAGGTTGGGGCAGTATTGCTGTCATTTTTCAGCTTATTTTAATCAATTGTTTTGGAAATATCTAACAGCCAGACAGAATCATTATAACTGTGTCATGTCCCTGAGTGCAAACTATGTAGTATCCTAACAGAATAGCTTTTGCCTATATATTTGGTGTAGTTGGTAACAATTACTCCTCATGTCTGTCTGAGTTTAGAGAATAGATCACTTTTTGAAACAAGAATGCTTCAATGAAGCACTGGCTCTTGCTTGGTCGTTTCATGAAGGAAAAGCTAAGGCTGTTGTAGGTAAGTGTACCATCTAAATATTTCACTGGCTGGAATCCTGTTGGTGGAGGTTATGTGTGGATCTCTCGTGATGTCATCAGCTATGGCCATGCTGCTGCCCTTTCAGGAAGTTAAAAGCTTTTCATTCTTGCCCCCACCATGCTCTCAAGATCCCTAAGGATTCCCTTTATCCTAGGAAGCCTTCAGGAGCTATGGAACTGGGTAGAGAATGATTTAAAGTTTGAAAATTACTGCTGGCGGCCCTGGCAGTGGGACCTGGGACTACCAGCAATGATTTTCTGGTTTTAAATAATTTCCTATTTGGCTCCCAAAGCTTTCTAGAATGAAGGGGAACTCTAGGGATCCTCAGGGCCTTGTGGGGAGGCAGAATGGGAAGGTTTTAATTTCCCAAAATGGCCATGTCATGTCTGCAACTGATGAAATCACCAGAGATCCACTGACATTTTAACTTCTGCCAATAGGATCCCAGCCAGTATGTGGCTTATGGTAAAAACAAAACAAACACATTTTTGTTCTTGTTAGAAAAGTGCATTCATTTTAGAATAAAAATATATCACAACTTTATAGTAAAATTTTAAAAAGACACAAAAGAGGACAAAATTTTCTTCCTGTAGGTTATGTCTTCAGGTTTTGTGTATAGTAAGCCATTAGGGTCGTTCAGTGTCATAAAATCATACTTCACAAATTATAAAGTAGGTTTTTACTTAACATATCTCAATATATTTTAATTAGGCTAGAAGGCTGTAAATGCTATTTTCAGAGTATTAGCCTAGAGCAGGAACGGGCACCTGTGGTCTTCCAGAAGTTTTTGAATGACAACTGCCACAGTTCCTCAAAGTTGGTTGTGCTGACTAGGGCCGATGGAAGATGCAAGTGAAAAACGCATGGAGGGTTTGTAAAGATTCCCAGTCATCTAGATGACCTTATCTGGAAGTTGAGTCATGGCAACTGGACTTCTTTCTTATTAGGTTGAAATGTCTCGCTACTCATCCAAGTAGCTTCTTCAGTCTGAGGAGAGCTGGTAGGAGACCCCTGATATATCCTCCACACGGATATATCAGGGGGCTCCTACCAACTCCCCTATTTCACTCCCCCCCGGTCTGAATAGGCTCATTAGATGGACAAAGGATAGGAAAATCCCACCTCTGCAATCCTCCTGCACCCATGGACTTGGGCTGTTAACAATTAACCACCACACACCCATGCACAAAAACACTAAGACAGAGACTCTTCCATCCAAAAGACCAGATAAAACCTGGTAGCAAAACATTTCAACCTAATAAGGAAAAAAAATGGGAGGGTCATGTTTGCCTACCCCTTTCCTGGAGTATTGTAATTTTGTCATGTCTGTCTAGCTGGTTGTTACAGCTTTAAAAATTACTTAGAATTTTTCTTAATGAGACCCAAGCCTTTGCAAGAAGTGCAATAGTTAAAATATTGTTTTTAATTATAAAAAATGAGTTTTTGTTTCATTTATAATCTAGTTCCTAACAGATAATTGTATTATGTTTATTTTTAAAAAAACAGGTTTATTGGGGGATGAACATAAACGGAAAGCAGTTGTTGCAGACAGAGTGAGTTTTCATCTTCTTTCATCTTCAATAAATTTACAAGATAGATTTACATTTATCCTGTTTTCAGATACAGTTTTATCCCACGTCCACATTACATTTTAAACTTAAATGACTGGATTTGAATCTGAATGAGAAAATAATGAAAGGGTTGGATTTGCTGTCAGTGCATATCTTTTTTATATCTTATACATACAGCTGATAAGTTCTAGATCAACCAGAATTTACAGGGAGAAATTCAGGTGATTCACCTATGTGGATAGTTAATTCCTTCCTGTCCCACAGGTGCAATTTGCTCTAGAGAGCTAAATATATATCATACAGGAAGGTATCTCTGGGAGTGGTTGTTTTTCTGGCTGTTTTTGACCATGTTCTGGAGGTTTTTCTTCCTAATGTTTTGCCAGTATCTGTAGCTAGCATCCCCAGAGGACAGGAGTTAGAACTCCTGTCCTCTGAAGATGCTGGCCACAAAGACTGACATTAGGAAGAACAACCTCCAAAACACAGCCAAACAGCCCGAAACCCCAACAACAACCATTGTATCCTGGCAGTGAAAGCCTTCGAGAATACATATCTCTTAGAGACTACCAACATTTATTTAATTGTTGAATGTGAAGTGTCCTTAGATTATTACTTCACAGCTCAAACTGCAAAACTACTACAAATTTAGCAAGCTCAAATTGGTACATTTTTCCTAGTCAAGGTTTTGAAATATTGTAGCATTTTCACTCTTTTCCATGATAGAACTGTGTGTATAGTCTGTATACGAATAGTAGGGAAGAGAAACATGTTGTCTGTCATGCAAAGAACGCAGTATGGGCAAACCCACTCATTTGTGTAGAGGAAGCCATGTTAATCTGTTTCATCACAATCAGGAATAAAAGCAGCTTTTGTGGGTTACCGCGCATATGCCTGAAGAGGTGGACAGAAATCCACAAAAATTGACATAGAAATAAAACTGTTAGTTTTGAAAGTGAGATAGTACTTTTGCTTTCTTTCCTCCTTCTTCCTAAAATCATCTGAAACTTTTTCTCCAAAGGGGAAAAAACCCAGATAGTTTTCCAAGTAAAATCATGAATCCCTGGGACATATGACCCTTCAGCCAATTCTAGGTCTGCTCTAACTGCAACTTAGCTATGTTAAATTAAGCAGTAGTTAGTAAATAAATAGCCCATTTGAATCAAAGGAACTTATGGAGGACTTGACTCACTAAATTCCCATTGATTCAATGGACCTATTGTAGTGAAATTTACTATGATAAACTACAGGATTTTGGCCAGTCTGTTTTCTCATGTACAAAATAGTGCAGTTTGAAGACTGAAAAAAAATGATTTCTACTCTTTGGCAATCATAGGGAGGACAATGTGACACATCTGGAAGAAATATAATCCACATGTACATGCATAGGAAGGCTTTGAAGAAGCAAATGTTGTATTGGTGTTAAGATAATAGTTTTTCTGATTGATTTCACAGAAAATGAAACCTGATAATATTCATCTTCCTTACTATATAAAGTAGTCTAAGAATTCTGTGTCCCTGTTACTTTTTTTTGCCTATAGATGGTTGAAATTCTTATCCATTATGCTGATAGAACTATGAAGAAATGTCCTGAGCAGGGTAAAATCCAAGTTATGGAGCAGCATTTTCAGGTACTGCACACTAGAATGTCACCTTTTGTCTTTTTAAATGCCAGTTACTCCTGTTTATCATTCAAGAGGGAAAAAGCAACAATAGATAATTAATTCTTCAAAAAGAAATGTCTGTTTTGGGGTATAATGTGCAAGAAATTCCACCTTCCAAATTATGGAAGTTCCCTCTTCCAATATTCATCCTGCTTTTTTTTAATATCTGCAGTAGCAGTAATAAGATACCAGGTAATACATGTGAACTGCGAATTGTTACTGTTAGTTGTAATTGTAATTTGCATGTGGTTCTTCCACAGGATATGGTCCCTGTTATTGTTGATTATTGTCTTCTGCTTCAGCGGATGTAAGTGATAGCCTTCCTATTGAGTTCAAAATGTTTGCTATATGTATGATGTCATTATGGCAGTTTTAGAAGAGGTAGCCGTGTTAGTCTGTGCTAGCATACTAGTCAAAATAAACTGAAAAATAAAGGACAATTCCTTCCTCTCTGAGTAGGTGGTCTTGTTCACTGAAGCTCACCTTCAAATAGAGCAGTTATTCTTCAAGGTTCCACAATCTTATTTTGCCTTCTTTATTTGTTATCATGATGGAAATTTATGTTGCTCCTGTAGGCGCCTTACTGATCCATGACAGGATGACAGGAGTTGCAAGAGAAAAATGAGATCTGATAGCTGACAGATATGGAATAATTTGATGTATTTCCTGTCAGGTTGTATAATCCTGTATCATAGTGTCACATTAGTAGACTGCTCATTTGCAAATTGTCTAGTGACTAACAGAAGGCCTCTTTAGTATAGCACTTTAAAGCTTGAGTCTGCAAAACATATTCAACTTGCTCAAGCAAGTTATGCATTTGCAATAATCTTTTTGTTAATTACTTGCTCTCTTTTTTCTAGGGATCTGTTATTTAGTCAGATATATGACAAGATGGCTGAAAACTCTGTGGCAAAGAGTGTCTTTCTGGAATGTCTTGAACCCTATATTTTGAGCGACAAATTGGTGGGCATGACAGCTCAAATTATGAAAGATCTGCTCCTTCACTTCCAAGATAAGAACCTAATGGCAAACTTGGAGGCTTGCATTGTACATATGGATATCACCAGTCTAGATATACAGCAGGTAATAGTCATAGTATTGTTACTTAACACATGAAGTGTTTTAAAAAGACTGTGTTAAATTGTGCTGAATAGATTCACCTGAGTTTTCAGCAAGAATTCTGGAACCAGAAAAGGCTTCTTAGTTTGCCTACATCTGCCATAATTATCTGAATTAATCCCAGTTTCTATCATAGGACAAATTGTGGCCATAATGGAAACTAGAACAGGAAAATAGTATCTTCTTCACAGGACATTTAATTGTGTACAATCTGTATGGAGGAAGAGCAGCTGCCCTTGATGGTCCATTCTACATCCACATGGTGGAATGTGGCTTAAGCATGTAGAATTTACTATAGGTGAGCAAATAGGCCTAAAATATTGAAAGTGATCCAGGTTCAGTTCAGATGAGGCAGAGATTTTAGGATCATAGAACTGGAGAAGGTCTTGCAGGCCATCTCATCCATCCTCCTGCTCAAAGCAGAAATTTCCAAACTGAAGCATCCTCTACAGATTGTTCTTTAGTTTCTGCTTGGACATCCAGTGAGGGAGCACCCTCTTATTGGACGTAGTATTGGAATGCAACTTAAGCATATAATACCTGTCCAATACCTGTTGGGCTGCTTTGTGCAAACTGGCCTAAATTTCTACCCTCCAGGTAATTGTACATGTTGCCAAGATGCTTTTTTAGTGGTTTCCTAGCTTATTGAATGATAAGAGTGGTATTCATCTCATTTAGCTTATTCTTAATAGGGTTACCTTGCCCTTAAGCAACCCAATTTGCAGCTTGGTTATGGTGTTGGATCAAGCCCTCTAATGGATGCTTGATTATGATCAGGGAGGTGAAGTGCCTTTTACCAGCTAAGGTCTCTCTTAGACTGTTACACCTCCTAGTCTATCTGTTGTGAGCTGTGTTCTGATAACTTCAGGACTTGGTCACTACAGTACATTCTACAAAAGGCTAACCTTGAAGACTTCCTTGAAATGCCAGCTTCTTCAACATAGAGCTACTAGGTCATTATAAAAGATAATTAAATGTTTTGCCATTTTTTAACATGCTCTCTGGTTGTCAGAATGCTATGTAAAAGCATTCTGCTTTTAAAAACTTTAAAAATCCTGTATACAGGACTTCATAATTTAGACTATATCTTCTGTCATGTGAGCTTTCCCAGAATCTTAGATTAAATTATGAGGCCTCTTTCCAGATCCTCTGTGGTATATTTAAACACATCTTTGGACTAGAAACTTTAAAAAGACTAGGATTTTTGTGATCCTAGTAGGCAGATTGTGGGGAAAAAAATCTCAAGATCTTTCATATGATCTTAAGTTTAACCTATCCCCAGTCTAAAGAAACCAGTTTCAGCTCTACACATAAACAGTATGAAACGAGTTCATGGTAAGTGGCTGTGCTCTCAGTTTAAATTAGTAAACCATCTGTGAGATGGGATTTGGACTCCTTCCAACTCTATTACAATAGGATTCTGTGATGTTTAACAAATCTGTATGTCTCAGGCTTCATTTTCTTTCCAGGTAGTTCTCATGTGTTGGGAAAACCGTCTGTATGATGCCATGATCTATGTCTATAACAGTGGAATGAATGATTTTATTACTCCAATGGAGGTAGGAAGATTGGCGCTCTAGGCTAAGTATCTTGTATGCATCTTGTTGGTTTTTAGCTAGGATTATTGATAAGATTATTATAGTCTGTACTATACCCAGTATTATTACTTAAAAGCTAGAAAGCTTGCTGTTAAAATTGTTCTGAAAAGCACAGTCGTAACTTCTATGGTACTAGAGAATCTGTATAAACCACATTGGCACAAGCTTTGGCTGTATGAGTGGTAATTAAAGACTGCTTGAAACAATACACATATCCTACACAAATATAGTTCCTGTGTTGAAATTTGCATTAATTCCCTGTGCAGTAATAATCACATATATGCTTCTATTCTGTGATGAATGCTATGCTCGTGAACCTTAGACTGGAGTTCTCATTGAGCTGAGTGGAATAAAAGCTGCAGTTTTATGGACAGTACATCACATCTACAAATCTTACTACTAGCTAGGTGATATGTTTTTGTGTGTGCACCTTATTCAGATACATACTGTTTCTTGCACTAGTCTTTGTATTTAAGGGCAAGCACTAGCAACGTTGGTGATACACCTGCAGAGACAATATTGTTATTTAAAGAAAGAAAACTGGTCTTCAGTAGAGCAACAAACATATTTTAGTTTCTAAAGACACTAGTCTATCCCATCTTGCCATCCTTGCAGACTAGAAGGCAGTTTGCTTTAATAGTGTTGTGTGTTCCTTTCTTGTTTACTTCGGAAACATAGGAGACAGATTTGTGCCAGTGAAGGAGGGAGGCTGGAAAAAGGGCCAGAAAAGTATGCGTGTGTGTTCACGCAATCTAAGGAGTCTTCTGTGAATTCTTCAAAGATGATCTGTATGTGAGAATTACTGTACAGTGAACCCTCAATTTAAGAACTTAATTGGTTCCGGAAGGACATTCATAAGTTGAAGCAAAATTTCCCATAGGAATGCACTAAAAACCAATTAATCCATTCTGGCTGTTTTTGGTTCTTAGGTCAAGGGTTTGTTTGTAAGTCCAAAGCATTAGTTCCCATAGAAACTAATGCTAAGCCGGTTAATCCATTCCTAACACTAGGGGCAGATTTTTTCTTTTTTTTCCTTTTAACCTAAGATGATTTAGGTTAAAAAAAGAGGAAAGAAAAGAGGGAGGGAAGGAGGGAACAGACGCCTTTTGAACAGAACACTCTCTGCTTTAAAAAAAGAATGTACAAAAATCAAAAAATCTAAAATTTTAAAAAAGCCAAAAAATAAAAATATAGCCCATACAGCACTATACCAGGCAATACCAGGCAGTCTGAAGACTGTCTCCCTATCCACTCTCTAAACACTGGGATGAGTGAGGAAGCAGACAAGCAGCCTCTTCGCTGGCCAACAGTTAACTGAAAGTTCAAATTTCGTGCTTTCCCTGCCTCCTGCACGTTTTTCCGTTCTTAAATCGAAGCAAAGTTCGCAAGTCAAGGCAATATTTTCCTATCAGAGCAGTTCGTAAGACGAAATGTCCATAACTAGGGCCGTTCATAAGTCGAGGGTTGACTGTATATTATTTTCCAGAAAGAACTGACACTCCATTAGTAAAATGCAACTTGTGTGAAATGACCTTGTTAAGATTCAGTCTCAGAGTAACTTGGAGCCATTCAAAAATGAACGTTGTTGCTGTTAGGCCTTTTAATCTGTTTGATAGTCCACAGTATCAACAATGGAAGCTAGGAACAATAAAAGAAAACATATCTGTTCACTTTCTGTTTTGCACTCATTCTTTTCTGTTTTATTGTAGAAATTGTTCAAGGTAATTGCTCATCCCCTTAGTGCTGGAAAGTCTCTCTCAGGTATATTTTATTTAGATGTTTTTCCAGCTGGATTGATATTTTGATTACTTTTTAAAAGGCTATTTTGTGTGTTATAATCTGTAACCTTGAGTGACCATCTTTCTTTTCTTTCTTTTTTCTTCTGCTCAGTACATTCTCAGCTTCCTACATTTCACTCATTGTTAGTTGGCTTCTCCATCTATGAGTGGTTTCACTGGTCTTTAAATTTCTTTATGGTAACTTTGATGGAGCAAAACATGCAAGCTGATTTTATATACAGTGTCTGCGTTTCTTAGTAAATTTGATTAGCCACTACCTAGGAAGTCCAGAGAGTATGTTCTTCTGCTCAGTACATTCTCAGCTTCCTACATTTCACTCATTGTTAGTTGGCTTCTCCATCTATGAGTGGTTTCACTGGTCTTTAAATTTCTTTATGGTAACTTTGATGGAGCAAAACATGCAAGCTGATTTTATATACAGTGTCTGCGTTTCTTAGTAAATTTGATTAGCCACTACCTAGGAAGTCCAGAGAGTGTGTTTAGACTATGCTGAGCCAGGTGAAACCATGATGAGCCATGCTGAGTTAATGATCTGCTTCTGTGTGTGGCAGATTCTTATACTCATATCTCACAAAGTAGGGGAAGTGCCCTCCTAGTCCATTCACACAACATTTAGCAGAGTATGGGATTAAATAGTATGCTAGGAAGTGTTGAAGGCATCAGGCAATGAGGAAGACCAAATATGAGATGTGTTGACTCAGTAAAGAAGTCATGGCCTTAAGTTTGCAAGAACTGTTAGAAATAAGATTGTTCAGAGGTCGTACATTCATAGAGTGTCCAAATGTCTAAGAGTAAACAATAGTTGTTGCTCTAATTTTTCGACATTGTCAGTCTTGCTTAGAATGTACATACTTTTCATAAACTTCCCCAAATATTTGAGTTTGGCATGAATGAATATCTGTATGTTAAAGGATTAGAATCTTGAGTTTTTCATATTACTTTATGCACAAGTAGCCTGTGTTCATGAGACAATTTAGTAAAGAAAGACATGACTCTGTTGTACCAGATGAAAATGTTAAACCCTTTTCTTTGTCTTTTCTTAGATGAGCAAGTCATTATGGGCAACAAGCTTCTTGTCTATATAAGGTATGATATATACAGCATTTATGATGGAGTTAAGTGAATCTTAATTTTTGTGGTAGTATAAGCTAGCTTGTCTCACAGAGAAAGAAGAATATGATGGTTGTCCTATGCCATCAGATGGCTTACAGTGGTGTAACGTTAGTGTGATACAGTATACTGTAGTTTGAATACTATATGTACTCAGCAAAAGAAAATTCAGAAGAAATAGTACTGGGAACTGCGAATGTAGCAGCTAGACACGTATTCATGCAGAGATCATGGCTGTACTGTTGGGATAAACCTATGATGGGTAAACGCATGAGAGAGAGAAACAGAAAGACCAGACAGTGGTGTGAGAAAGTGAGAGTGGAAAAAATATAACTATGGAGGAGAGCACAGAAAACAAGTGTAGAGTTGCTTGGTGCAACATGATCTTGCTAGTAAAGGTTTTGTGTTGTTGAGCTAAGAATTTAGCAGATTGCAAAGCTGAAGAAGTTTACTGAAAGAAGCAGATTGACAGTACACCTCATCTAATAAATGGAGTTCTGATAAATCTGTAGGGTTTTTGAGAAGTTAAGCTTCACTGTGGTTTTCATTATCTGAATACCTGATTCTCGGTTCTAAGTGTACATAGCAATGAAAGCAGATGGAGAACTCTATCTTGCATGCCTTATCTGAATAATAGTCGTAATGTAGGTGCGCAATGATAGCTGCATGTAGTTGTGACCGTGTTTTCCAGAGTGGCAGTGTGGGTGTAATGGGAGGGGGTATACACAATGTTTTCTTAGTTCTTCATTTAACTTAAGCATGAATATCTTAAGACGTACATACAAGCAGTATTGGGCTTAGATAACTGGTTCCCAACCTTAGGTGAAGCGGGTCACTGGGCTGTATGTACTGACAGTTTAGCTCAATATCCCGTTGGGTCTAGAAATAATTGGACACTGACATAAGTTTTGTTATTTTTGCTGTTTACAAAAATAAATTAAAATTACAGTTAAATAATGAATATGGGCTTAAAATGTGGTCTGTCAGCTTTAATTTTAGGGTATTCACATCTGAATTGGAGGAACGGCTTAGGAATTACAGCTCTTTAATATTTAGCCCCCTCTTTTCCAGGGGACCAAAAGTCATTGCACATTGCACAATAGATTCAAAAGTTGTTTCACAGACAGGTGTCGGCTATTGCTGTGAACCCACAACATGTGTTCCAAGGATCTCTCAATGCAAATGAAACAGGCCACCCTTAGGCTGCTAAAAAGGAAGAAAAAGAAAATAAATCCATCAGAGAGATAACAGGAACATTAGTAAAGGTAAAGGTTTCCCTTGACATTTAGTCCAGTTGTGTCTGACTCTAGGGCGTGGTACTCATCCCCGTCTCCAAGCTGTAGAGTCAGCGTTTGTCCATAGATAGTTTCCGTGATCATGTGGCCAGCGTGACTGGACACAGAATGCTGTTACCTTCCCACCGAGGTGGTACCTATTTATCTACTTGCATTTGCATGCTTTCAAACTGCTAGGTTGGCAAGAGCTAGGACAAGCAACGGGAGCTCACTCCATTGCCTGGATTCACTCTTACAAGTGCTAGTTTTCTGACCTTGCAGCACAGAGGCTTCTGCGGTTTAACCCGCAGTGCCACTACGTCCCACCCACAGCAGCACCATGTCCCAACAAGAACATTAGGTACAGTTTGGTACATTCTGAGAAAAAAAGAATACACTGGTGAGCTCTGCAACACAAAAAGGCCTGGGCCTCCACGGAAGATAACAGTGGTGGATGATTGTAGGATGCTTTCCATGGTAAAGAAAAAGCCTTTTGCAACATCCAGCCAAGTGAAGAACACTCTCCAGAAGTTAGGCATATCATTATCCAAGTCTACCATAAAGAGCACAAGAGCAAATACAGAGGGTTCACCATAAGGCGCAAACCATTCATAAGCCTCAAGACTAGAAAGGCCAGATTAGACTTTGCCAAAACAATATTTTAAAGAGCCAGCCCAGTTCTGGAACAGCATTCTTTGGAGAGATGAAACAAGGATCAGTCTGTACCAGAATGATGAGAAGAACAAAAAGTATGGTGAAGGCTTGGAACAGCTCATAATTCAAAGCCTACCACATCATCTGTAAAACACGGTGGAGGCAGTGTGATGGATGGCATGGGCGTGTATGGCTTCCAATGTCACTGGGTCACTAGTGCTTATTGATGCTGTGACAGAAGACAGAAGCAGCTGGTTGAATTCTGAAGTGTATAGGAATAAATTGTCTGCTCAGATTCAGCCCAGTTCAGCAAAGTTGATTGGACAGCACGTCCCTTTACAGATGGACAGTGACCCAAATTACTGCGAAAGCAACCCAGACTTTTTTTAAAACAAAGAAGTAGAATATTTTGCAATGGCTGAAGTCAGTCACCTGATCTCAACCTGATCGAACATGGATTTCACTTGAAGACAAAACTTAAGGCAGATAGATCCATGAACAAACTGCAACTGAAGACAGCTGCAGTAAAGGCTTAGCAAAGCATCACACAGGAGGAAACCCAGTGTTTGGTGAAGTTCATGTGTTCCAGATTTCAAGCAGTCTTTGCCTGCAAAAGATTCTTGACGAAGTATTTAAAACAAACAATTTTATTTATGATTGTGTTAGCTTGTCCAATTATGGATTATGCATGGAAATGGTTGCAGTTCCTAAACATTTCATACAATATTTTTGTTCAACCCCTTGAATTAAAGATGAATGTTTGCAATTCAGCTGTTTCATTTCAAATCTATTGTGGTGGTGTACCGAGACAAAATTATGAAAATTGTGTCCGTGTTTAATTATTTCCAGATCTGAATCTGCTTAGAAGAAGAAGCTGTTTAAGTTTTAGAATACTAAGTTTTCTAAGTGGCTAACTTTATATACCCTAATCAGTAGTATCTGTGCATCAGAGGCAGATAGCAGTAGACTTGGGGAAAATTCAAGGTAGTAGGAATTGCAAGACTGCAGGTACCAAAATAAATAAGGAGTAAAAAATCTTCCAGGAGAAATTTCACCTTAAGCCTCAAGAGGTAAAATGACTTTTTGTTATGGTGATAAACAGAAGATCCAAGGAAAGGAATGGAACAGAGAAAATGAATCATGGATTCATCTTCACACTTGTTATTTTCTTGTCTTGTTCATGTGTGTATTATGTAAGTAGAAGCCCATTTCTAGCCATGTTCAGGCTTATGTACTATGTCAATTGTTCCTTACAGCATTGTGTTTTAATGCATGTTGTTTGTCTTTCTTTAAAGTTGCTGTTTGGCAGGTCGAGCTTATCCACTAGGCAACATTCCAGAAGACCTTGTCCCTTTGGTGAAAAACCAGGTAGGTTTATATCAGAAAAATACATTTTCCCCAAGAAATATGGAAGCTGTTTGTGCTGATGTCTTTAATGAGATATAAATATATATTTGAAAGCAGTTGCTATGGTTCTCCTTTCCTTCCATCATACTTTAATAGTAACCACCTGCTGAAGCCTTGGTTATCACCGCAATACCCCAGGGTTGTTACTGCTGAACTACATAGTGCATGTTTTGAAGTCTTACCTTATTGGAAGAGGTAATGCTGTAGAAAATGTGATACAAAATAAGCACATAATTGGGGGCGGGGGGAGCAGCGTAAAGTAGGAGTATGATTAAATTTTAAAAAACACAAGGACAACATTCGGCCCCTCACGTACCATTTGTGTCTTATACTTCCTTTAAAATGATGTACAGATACTAAATCTATTCATGTTGGCGGATGACCCCATCACAGATACTGATTTCACCAAAGCGTATAACAATGTGGTAGGAATGATGACTCTCTTGTAGTTAGTAGTTATTTTTCAGCAATTTGATAAGAAGTTGCTATCGTCTAGATAACAGTGGCTTTTTGATTATCTGTCGTAGGCTTTTATGATCACCCCAGGGCTCCTCAGAATACACTAGATTCTCTCTTTATCCCCCTTGCCCTTTCTGTGGATGAATAGTCCACTGGGAACTTGCTGTATCCTTTTTCTAGGTTTATTCACTGTGAGCATGTGTGGCTCCCCAGGCTCTCCATAGGCAAGCGGATTTTAAAAGGGGGCCTGAGGGATGGTGATCACCATGGAAGAGAGCAGTTGCTGCCTTTAACTGGAACTTTGTTCCAAAATTATTTACAGCCATCTTGTAGGTCTTTATGGGCTCTGTCCCAAAGGACCCTCAGCCATCCATTGTCCTTTCTATTAGGGCATGATGGTTTAACTTGACCCCCTGTCCAAAGTCTTCTGGGTAATTCCCAGCACCCCCAGTCCCTTTGTGTCGTTCCCATTCTCTTGTTCCTGTTTGGTGTGGAGGTTCAAACTATCACAGCCTTGTTGTTTAGTTCACTAGCACTGGAGTCAGGATCAACACAGGTAGAATTAGGATGGGCACGACAAGAGTGGGCCCATATTGCCTCGCCCCAACCGTAGTGTTCTTGCAGGGTATCGGGACATGGAAAAGGATACTCAGTGATAAGGTCTGTATAGCCCTAATATGAAAGGACTTCTGGAAACCACAGGCCCTCAAACCACTCTGGAGCATCGCTTGACTTGCTTCTTCTCTTCCTTGCCGATCCCCTTCTCCCTGTCACTGCCTCTTCTCCCTCTATGCTGCCTTTTCTTCCCATTCCTGAAGGTTCTCACACTTTCCTGCCTCCAGGATTTCTGTGCCATGCATGGCTACTGATGTGAAGGCTTGTCCTATCTTGGGTAATTCCCCAGTGAAGGTTGCCATATGTAGCCGTTTTTTAGCCCAGTACTTGATGGGGTTGTGGAAGATGTGGAGATTGACCCTTGCTCTGCAGTGCTGTCTGCACTCTCACAGAGTAACATTAGAGTTTAGGGGTTATATTGTTGTTTGTATGTTCATCATAGATTTCTGTGAAGTTTTATTCATATCACACAATGTACAGTATATAACTCCTCATGAAAAAAGTATAAGCAGAGAAAGATGTTTCATCCAGACAAAGCAGCAATTTAGATATAGAGTAGGACCATACATAGGCAGTAAAACGGAATGAGGCGAAGGTGATGCAAGAATGAAGAGAGTAAAGATGGCCAGATGTGTCTGCATGTACTCAGGCTTCCTTTCACTGAGGGAAGAGGACCAGTGCTGCCAACTGTATACAAATACTGTAATCTACCTTTCAGTGATTGTTCCAAAGTCAGTAGAATGGCATATAACTTCGTTGTAGACCAGATATGTTGGGAAGATTAGCTATAAGCTGCAAGCATTATTTTCGTGTTCTTGCAGTTGAAGCTCCTCAAGCAACTGTTGCTCGGCTATAAAGAGTACTATATCATAACACCTCAGCATATGGATCTATTGTCTAATTGACATTTAGTTACTTTGTTGTTGCTTAGTCATTGCTTAGTCATTAAGACATGTCTGACTCTTTGTGACCCCATGGACCAGAGCACGCCAGGCCGTCCTGTCTTCCACTGCCTCCCGGAGTTGGGTCAATTTCATATTGGTAGCTTTGGTGACACTGTCCAACCATCTCATCCTCTATCATCCCCTTCTCCTCTTGCCTTCACACTTTCCCAACATCAGGGTCTTTTCCAAGGAAGCTTCTCATGAGATGGCCAAAATATTGGAGCCTCAGCTTCAGGATCTGTCCTTCCAGTGAGCACTCAGGGTTGATTTATTTCAAAATGGATAGGTTTGATGTTGCAGTCCAGGGGGACTCTCAAGTGTCTCCTCTAGCACCACAATTCAAAAGCATCAGTTCTTTGGCGGTCAGCCTTCTTTATGGTCCAGCTCTCACTTCCATATGGCTACTGGAAAAACTGTAGCTTTGACTATGCGGACCATTGTTGGCAAGGTAATGTCTCTGCTTTTTAAGATGCTGTCTAGGTTTGTCATCGCTTTCCTCCTAAGAAGCAGGCGTCTTTTAATTTCATGGCTGCTGTCACCATCTGTAGTGATCATGGAGCCCAAGAAAGTAAAATCTGTCATTGCCTCCATATCTCTTCCCCTTCAATTTGTCGGGAGGTGATGGGACCAGTGGCCATGATCTTAGGGGGTTTTTTATGTTGAGCTTCAGACCATTTTTTGCACTCACCTCTTTCACCCTCATTAAGAGGTTCTTTAATTCCTCCTCACTCTCTGCCTTCAGAGTGATATCATCTGCATATCTGAGGTTGTTGATATTTCTTCCAGCATTCTTAATTCCGGCTTGGGTTTCCTCCAGTCCAACCTTTCACATGATGTATTCTGCATAGAAGTTAAATAAGCAGGGAGACAATATATATACAATCTTGTCGTACTCCTTTCCCAATTTTGAAACAATCAGTTGTTCCATATCCAGTTCTAACTGTTGCTTCCTGTCCCACATATGGATTTTTCAGAAGACAGATAAGGTGGTCAGGCACTACCATTTCTTTAAGGACTTACCATAGTTTGCTGTGGTCCACACAGTCAAAGGCTTTTGCATAGTCAATGAAGCAGAAGTAGATGTTTTTCGAGAACTCTCTGGCTTTCTCCTTAATCCAGCGCATGTTAGCAATTTGATCTTTAGTTCCTCTGCCCCTACGAAATCCAGCTTGTACATCTGGGAGTTCTCTGTCCACATACTGCTGAAGCCTACCTTGGAGGATTTTGAGCATAACCTTGCTAGCATGTGAAATGAGTGCAATTGTATAGTAGCTGGAGCGTTCTTTGGCACTGCCGTCCTTTGGGACTGGGATGTAGACTGTTCTTTTCTAATCCTCTGGCCACTACTGAGTTTTCCAAACTTGCTGGCATATTGAGTGTAGCACCTTAACACCATCATCTTTTTAAGATTTTAAATAGTTAAATAGTACTGGCCTTGTTGTTAGCTATGTTTTCTAAGGCCTGACTTGTTGTTAGCTATGCTTTCTAAGGCCTGATTGACTCTCCAAGATGTCTGGCTCAATTTCAGGAACCACACTCTCTGGGTTGTCTGGGACATCCAGATCATTCTGATATAATTCCTTTGTGTATTGTTGCCACCTCTTCTTAACGTCTTCTGCTTCTGTAGGGTCCCTCCCATTTTTGTCCTTTATCATGTCCATCTTTGCACAGAATGTTCCTTTAATATCTCTAGTTTTCTTGAACAGATCTCTGGTTTTTCCCTTTCTATTATTTTCCTCTAATTCTTTGCAATGTTCATTTAAGAAAGCCCTCTTGTCTCTCCTTGCTATTCTTTGAACCCTATTTATTAAATTGACATTTTAGAAATCATCAATATTTGCACAATTGTGTTTTTGTGCACCTCAGCTCTGGCATCATGTCATGCTCCTGTGATGTTTCATTGAGATACAGTACTTGCTTAGCAGAATTAGTCATATCACAGTCCTAGAACCCAAACTCTTTGATGATTCCCTGTTGTAAGCAAAGTGACTGGATGGTGCAACCTGGTCCAGGTTTTCATTTTGTTTAAAATTCCCATTCCATTGGTTCCAACAGGATGGAAAAAACTTGATCCTGGGACCTCATGTAGCAATGAGAAGCTGAGGATCCAGCACCTCTGTGTCTATCCTCCACTACTGGAATGCCCTATTTGGAGGTCTTCCCACCAACAGTCTATATATACCCACCACATTTTCTGCAGATGAGACTAATGTCAGGTGGATGCCCAACTCTACTGCTATTGCTTATTTCTACTGTCAGAAGGATTGTTTGTCCCGTGCTAACTTCCCATTATTCAGGGGATCCGGCAGTTAGGATTGCTCTGCTCAATGTTTACGTTTCCAGAATATTAAAAAGAGAAGTGGTTACATCAAAGTAAAAGAGATTTTGGAAACAGACATAATGTATTGAGCTGTTAGCTCCTTACTTCTGTTGACATTCAGTCTTGATCATCTGTCAATGAAATTGATAGGTTAGAATGTAAATTTATTGTTCTACTTAATAGATGAGGCAGTTTAAAATTGCAGTCAGAGGGAGCCATTCTTACACTTGTTAGTATAAGGATGGAGTTTCCTCATGGGTCTGACCTATCTTTTCTTAGCCTCTGGCCTACAGTTCACCAGATTTTCACTCTCCATTTCCTGTTTTAAATTTTACTGTTTTAACTTCTGTTTTTCCTTATTTTCCAATGGACTGGTTCAATATATGAGGATAGATTTATTTTGAAAAAATGGACTAGAAAGCAAACTTATGCCCCCTGCCAGAATTAATTATTTTGGAAACCTGTGGAGAGGATCTCTTTCAATATCAGTGAGCAGCAATAAATATCAATAATTGTGAAAATGGATGTAACAATCCAAGGGGTATGCGAGACTGAAATGCTTTGCTTTCTACTAAATCATTGAACTTGTACCAGAAAAGAAATGTTCAGCACAGTGGATGGCACCTAAATTAAAAAAAAAACTGTTAAAAATATACTCCTTATTTTCAGAAGTTGTTTCAAAACTGATAGGCTTGAAACACTTTCTTCAATAATTCAGAATAGTGACCAAGGGGAGTATATATTGATTTTCCTTGCAGGTCTTTGAATTTCTTATCCGTTTGCACTCAGCTGAGGCACCCACAGATGAAGAGGTTTACCCCTACATACGTACATTGCTACACTTTGATACACGGGAGTTCCTTAATGTTCTTGCACTGGTAAGTGGCAATATAGCTTCCAAAAATGTTTTAAGGAAGAAATTATCTCCATCTCAATATTCATGTTTTGTGGATTAGAACCAGATTTAGGACACAAGCAGCAGGGCTGGTGGAAGCAGAGTCTCCCGTGGTGGTCCCAGAGGTGCTTTGAAGATGTTACACAGAGCTGTGGCACACATGGATGTGTGAGATCGGATAAAGTGCAGGGAAAGAAGAATTTCTAAAAACTGGCAGAGGCAGTCATGGAACTGTAAATGGAGCTCTTAGTTTTGCTTCCTGCGGTTTCTCAAATATGATGTTTGCGCATCTTCAGCAACCTGATGTTCTAACAGAGCACTCTTCCAAATGGTTAGTAGTGTTGCTTCTTAGGAGCCAGCAATCCCTCGTACTGGTAGAAAGTGGATCTGAGAGCCACTTGCTTTTTTTCTGCCAACACTGTAGGTATAATTGTCAAATAACTTGTATTGAACAAGTCTACCTATATATATGTACATTTAGAAATTTATGTTTTGTTAGAAATATGTTTAAATTGCCTACATAACATTGTACCAGGTACTTGAATTGCAGGATTACACTATACATATGGCTGCTTTGTCTAGTATTTGCCCATTCTGGATGAATGTTATAAATCATCAGGTAACAATATTTTCTCAGTGTGTGGCTTAGCATGTGAGCTGCTAAAATAACATAAAATAAAAAGACCATGCAGTTGCTATTTCTGGAAGCCAGAGGCTGCCCTGACATTAGATGCAGGAACGGAAAACCAGAAGAGAGGCTCCAGTTGATCACATCCTGTTCTTTCCATTGCCTTTTTAAAAAATTATTACATTGAAGCAAAATGGAAGATACTTTGTGAGACCCAAACATTAGAAGGCTGCAAGGAATGATTAGGCTTTGAAGGTCAGCTAGAAGGAGGGAAGGATAGCATTTTGGATTCACATTCTCATTAGAGTGTACGTCTGTACTGAGAGCTAAATTATTTCATTCCTGTTCTTATCCCTATAATAGATGCCCTAGTTGCGGTCCTGTTGTATTTGAATTTTTATTCAGATCTTCAGCGCCTATGTAAAAATGATATGGTCTCTATACTGTCTGGGTCCTCACTCCACTTCACCATCAAACCTGCTTATGATATCCTTAGAGCAGAATTCAAAATGTTGTTCTGTTCTCACTCTCCTTGACCTCTTTGTTACCTTTAATAAATGGCCAGTTTTTCATAGTAGACTCTTTATAATGTTCTTCATTTCTATGACTCTTCCATTAAACTGATTAAGTTTCTGCCTGTCTAGTTATTTGGGTAACTGAGGAAGTTCTTTTGGTAGTGGTGTTGCTTTCCACTTCTCCATAGGTCTTCTTCAGGATTCTGCCTTTTTTCCTCTATAGCTGTTAGAGGTGCCTGAATAACCTTACAGTGCCTGAATAACCTCACCAGATTGGACGATTTGCACTACCGCCTATATTAGGGTTGGACAGTGTGTGTCTCATTTACTACATGTAGGCGTAAACGACCGGTTGTGCCTTCAAGTGATGCAATTGGTCACTTTTCCATCCTCAATCAGTTTTAGGTGTTGAGGCCTTTTCCCTGTGATCAAATGTGACCTGGAAGATGTGATTAGCTTTTTAGAAGCACAAAAAATGTGGTGCACTTAAAGGGTAACCTGAGGTTTCCCCAGAAGGGGAAAAATGGGGTGTTTCAAGGACCCAGAGTGGGGATGTCCCTAGACCTCTAGTTATTGCCCATTCCTTATCCATACCATGGATGTTGGAACCAATGGTAAGCAAATATAGGTAGCCAGAGGATTGAGAATGGACGGAGTTTGCTGCACAACACATGTTCTCTCCTCCATCCTTGGCATAGTTTTGAACTTATAAATGTAGAGAGCATCTTACCATTATTTTAGCCGTTCTTGAAAGGAAGCGGGGTGAAGTGACAGGAACCCCTGCTTTTTGTGAGTTTGTTTATATGCTTTGGCTGTCCCAACATGATCAATCTGAGGGACAGAAATCCAGAGCAGTGCTGAATTGTAGCAATATACACTAATATCAAACACAAGATGGGACCTCCATCCTGCTCTCACAATGCAGTTGCCAATTTCTTCGTATCCTTAGTCTGTCCACCCTCCAAAGGCAAAGAGTACTCTTTGGGCTGGCTTAAATTTGTTTGGGGTGTACACTTCCCACCGGCATCTGTGCACAGATACCTACCTCTAATTATGGGCCCAATAATTTTCAAGAAAAAATCTTAATGCTAGGAAAAATTGAAGGAACCAGGAAAACAGGAAGACTAAATATGAGATTGATCGTGTCCATAAAGGAAGCCATAAGGCTTGAGTTTTTGCAAGCTGAGCAGGTTTTGTTAAGGACAGGATATTTGGAAATCATTCATAGGGTTGCAAAAGTTGGATGCAACTTGATGACACATATTGACAAAAAATGTATTCCTTTACGTGTTTTCCATTGCTTCTTATTGTATGCCTCTCCACTTCAAATCATTATCTGATACATAGTGTTCATCTGAAATCAGAACATTAATAATGACTAGAATCCATTTAGTTATTTAGACCCATTGTATGTGCAGTAGTAAAAACTGCAATGGTGAGTTGTTGCTGTTTGCTAAGTCATTGTGTTTTTGTCATAAGGAAAGTGTGCTGGAATGCAAGTTGCAATTCATTAAGCAGTGGTAAATTATTGTTATGATTTATACCATAACACTTATACTATCATAAATAACCAATAGGGTTCTGGCCAATATATAGCACTGAAGTAAAATTCTGTCTAGTCCTTTTATGAGTCCAAGTATTTCTTAGTTCAAGAGACTGTGTGATAGTGACCTGAGGAAATGTTTTTAGGCGGATTCCAGCTGTCCACTTAATCTAGTTGACATAGGTTATGTGGTCACTGAGTATCTTTACAAGAATATTTACAGAAAACAAGTAGATCTAGTAGCTATATACTGCATGGCCCTGCATGCAGCCTATGCATGAAGCCTTGATCTTCCCTTTGCATCAGAGAGCAAACATCAAAAAGCCACAGTTAGCTGCAGTTTCTTGTTACATATGAGCGAGAATATCTGATTAATGTCTTCCAAACAAGTTGGGATATCCAGTTATGTTTTCCAGTTGATTAGTTTGGAAGCCATTAATTAGAGATTCCAGTTCAGGTATAACAGGAAGCTGTGGTTAACTGTGGATTATTGGCTTGTACTCCCACTAATGTGAAGGGGCTGCAGGTGAGTGACTGAGATTTGTGCTCATCCTGGCTTATTAACTAAAGTTTGATAATCTAAACTTCGCCACTGTTGGGGAATATAAATAGAGATGGTATTAACTGTTGAGCTTGCCATCTTCCATTATGAGGGGATTAAAGTATGAATGTTTTATTTTTCCCCTAATGGCATCTTCTCTAAAAAGACATTTGAAGATTTTAAGAATGACAAGCAAGCTGTGGAATATCAGCAGAGAATTGTGGATATCCTACTCAAGGTGAGTTTTGCTTTGGAAAATTTTATTTATGAACTGTGGGAATACTTTGGTTTTAGGCTCAGAATGCTTCCTTTAGGAATCAGATGAATATGTCCCTTGCTGTGTGAATGTTTAATATTTTGTATAAATAAAGCATTGAAATTATTAAAGGAGATCTATAAATGTAACCGTGAAAACATGGATTGTGCCCAATAAGGAAGTTTCAAACAGTAATGTAATGAATGTTTCTTAGAGGCTATTGCAGAGCAAGAAGACAGCTTCACTAATTAAGCAAAATACGTTATAAAGGCTGTTAGCTCCATAAGACCAGCAGAACACATAATGACTCAAAAACTCATTATAAAATACATACGGTCCTCTGGCTGAGCAGAGGTTCGTAGTAAAATACTGTATCCCCATGTCGGAGGTAAACTGGCTTTCTGTATACCAAAAAACAAACAAAAAAAACCCCAGCATTTTCTACAGTACAAGCCACTTGTATTAGATATTCCATTTTGACACTGTAGTGACATTGTCAATCAAGCGTGGGTATGTGTATATTTACTAAGACAAACCAAAACAACTGGGTAATTTAAAAGTATGCACAGAGAAACATGCAGTGGCAGAAACCATCAGCACATAAGCTGCACAAGCAGAGCAAAGCAAAAAACCCAAAGCTCATAGCATTTAGGAGCTACTTAAGGAATTCCATCCATAAATTCAGGCTGAAAATGGCCCAGGTGAAAAAAAAAATCTAATGTTATGCTATGTATTCATGTAATACGCTAAAGGATTAAATTACATATTTTTGTATTCATATTTTTTACTTTTAAGAACAATGAAACTTTATAGAGATGAGCGCTCTACATTTTGGTTGTGCCTTTTTAAAGGCAAAAAACATCTGTGTTTTTAGAGTGTAATTCTGCGTGTGTGAGCATGTGTGCATTTATTGTTGAAATATATTTTGCCTGTAATTCTTCTAGCTGCAAGCTTCTATATAAATAGAATTTTTTCCCTGTACCTTGTGGCTACAAGAACCTACATTTTGATAGAGTGACAGACTAGGACTCTAGAGACCAGGATTTGAGTCCCCGCTTGCTCATGGAAACTCACTGGGAGAGTAGAAGTGGTAAAACCACTTCTTAAATATCTCACTTACCTTGAAAATCCTATTAGGGTTGCTTATAAGTTGGTTTCAACTTATTGGCACACAACTGACTATACTGTACCTTGATATCCAGATGGTACTTGAGCTCACACTGGAATTAACGGTTAACAGTGATAAATGTCAGCTCTGAGAGACCCCCACAGATTCAAACTACAAAAGAGTTTTACATATCACAAAGTGCTCTGAGGACTTTGAGTGCCATAAACCTGACCTTGACAGCATAACTTGCTTTTCAGTGAAAAGCGTTTAGAATTTCTTCCTTCTCTATTTCTTCTTGGCTACTTCTTCTTTTGCTCACCAGTTTCCCTTTCAGTCTGCATACTCCAAAATTCAGTTCTTGATTCACTTCTCTTAGCTTTTTTGTTTGTTTGTTTTTGTCCTGCAGTATCATCACTAGATACTTTGATCTTTCTCTATTACAGTTAGCATCCACTTTAAATATAGACATTCCAAGGTACAGTGCTTGTAACTTACCTAGATAGAGCTGAAAGAAAATCCTTCCTGAAATCCTAGGGACTCAGTGCAAGTTAGTGGGGAATAGATGGGGCTAGCGCACTGATGGTGTGACTCAGTGTAAGGCAGCATTCTAAAATGAATTTTATTGCCTTCCCTCTGAACCATCAGATATGTGATATTTTCAGAATTTATCCCTCCAGCCTTTCAAACATTAAAAGTTAGAGCATTATATTTGCCTCATTTGTTCTTTTTCAATTCACTCTAGCTTTCTCATCAACATTTCCAAATTTAATTTCTTATCTACTGACTTTTATGACAGCTTTTTATTCTTTGTTGTTGTTTAGTCGTTAAGTTGTGTCCGACTCTTCGTGACCCCATAGACCAGAACACTCCAGGCCCTCCTGTCTTCCACTGCCTCCCAGAGTTGGGTCAAATTCATGTTGGTAGTTTCAGTGACACTGTCCAACCATATCGTCCCCTGTCGTCCCCGTCTTCTCTTGCCTTCACACTTTCCCAACATCAGGGTCTTTTCCAGAGAGTCTTTTCTGGAACGGATTAACGTCGCTAAGCGAGGCACCACTTATTATTTTTCATAATGCTCGTAGTATAGCCGCCTAGAGTGGTTGTAATGACCAGATAGGCAGGGTATAAATGGAATGAATGAATGAATGAATGAATGAATGAATGAATGAATGAATGAATGAATGAATGAATAAATAAATAAATAAATAAATAAATAAATAAATAAAAGCCGTACCCCCAAAATAAGACTCAGGTAAGTGAAACTTTGCCCCTCCACCATTGTGCAGCAACCAGAAGAAGATGACATGACTGTATTTGAATGCAGTGGTGCCTCAACTTACGAACTTAATTGGTTCTGGAACTCCGGTCATAACTCGAAATGATCGTAAGTCAAAGCACCATTTCCCATAGGAATGCGTTGAAATGCAACTACAGTGGTGCCTCGCTTGACGACATTAATCCGTTCCAGCAAAATTGCTGTAGAGCGAAATCGTCGTCAAGTGAAATAAAAAAGCCCATTGAAATGCATTGAAAACTGTTCAATGCGTTCCAATGGGCAAAATACCTGCTTGTCCAGCGAAGATCCTCCATAGGGTGGCCATTTTCTGTTCCCTGTATAGCGAAAAATCCGTCCTAAAAACAGCGGGGAGCTATTTTGCACAGCGGGCGGCCATTTTGGAAACCCGGCGATCAGCTGTTTTGATCATTGTAAAGCGAAAAATCGGTTCACAAAGCAGGGAACTGATCATTGTAAAGCGATTTTTTCGCAGTAGAACATTGTTTTCCGATCGCAAAAAACCTAATCGTCAAGCGGATTTGTTGTTTAATGAGGTAATCGTTAAGCGAGGCACCACTGTAATCCCTCCCAGCCAAAGGGGGGGGAGAAAAGCAAGCAAATCATGCAAGACCCATCGGAAATGCAAAGAAAGCAAAGCAAAAAGCAAGCAGATTGTGCAAGACCCATCGGAAATGAGGGGGGAAAAAACCAAAAAGCAAGGAAAACCCCCCAAACCCATCAGAAATGGGAGAAAAATCCAAAAGCAAGGAACTCCCCCCAAGACCCCAAAGCAGAAAGCAGCACCTTACCTTACCAGGCAGTCCGAAGACTCCTCCAATCGCACTCACTCTAACCATTGGGGTGAAAGAGCTACAAAGAAGCAGCCTCTTCGCCTACCATCTGTTAGCAATTTGAATTTCCTGCCTTTTTCCCCCCTGCCTTTTTTAAAATTGTAACTGGAAGTTCCGGCTGCAAGTCTAAGCAAAATTTTGCAGCAGGAGCTGGTCGTAACTAGAAATGGTCGTAAGTTGGGACATTCGTAAGTCTACGTTTACACCACTGTAAATGTAGATTGTTGTACATGAAAAAAATAAAACATCCCCTGAAAATAAGCCCTAATGCAGTGGTCAGGGAACAGGGGTAAATTACCCCAAATGGGATAAAAATGAGGGGGTAATGAGGACAGTCACGGCAGACATTTTACCCCCAGGCATTTTATTTCCGACGATGCTGTGTGTAGGCGGGGATTCCGTTGTGGGGAGAAGCGAGCCCTGGCGAGGAACTGCACAGGGCACCTGCCTGTCCTCCTCACCTCCAAAGTGGGGGTGGGGGAGGCAGTGGACCAGGCCAGCTGGACTCTTTGTCCGGCGGAGCCCTGGCTGGGGCTCTCCTGCCTGCCTGCACCCACCTGCCCAGGGCGCTGGCGAGGAGGCCCCCTTCCCACCTGCCTCACCTGAGTCTCACGGCTGGTGGTCAAATCCCTGCTCAGTCATGGAAACTCACTGGGGGAGTGGAACTGGTAAATCTACTCCTTAAATATCTCACCTACGTACTTTGAAAGCTCTATTAGGGTCACTATAAGTCTGTTCTGACTTGATGACACAGAACACATATACCCCTGTCATTTGAGAGGAATGCTTAGTCCATACGGTACACACGAGCAAAAATTAATATAAGACCCTGTGTTATTTTCTGGGAAACATGGCAGGTAGCTGTGTTAGTTTGTTTTAACAATTTCTATAAGAAACAGTCATGTATAAGACTAATTAGTTTTTATTTTTCATCAACTTTCATGGGTCTAAGCACACTTCTTCAGATTAATGGAGTGATCCAGAGATACAACCATGAATCTACAAAAATTTCATGCTTAGACACAGGTGCAAAATGATTGCTTCTGGTATGGAATCTTGAGTATTTTGAGTTGTGCTAACCTTATTAACTGAGGACACCAAGTTTTTCTAGACAGGTGTGTCTGAGCTGATACGCTTTTTTGTCCAACATAGTTTTTTTCTAGACAGGTGTGTCTGAGCTGATATGCTTTTTTGTCTAACATAGTTTCAGGCTGTCAGGCTGTATAAGCTTTTTTACCACTGGAGAGGAGAAGGGCAGTCCTGTTGACAGGTGAAATGCCATTCTAATATACTTGGTACCCTGTTTTCCTGAAAATAAGCCCTCGTATAATTTTTCAGGTTGCTCGTAATTTAAGCTCTACCCAAAAAATAAGCCCCAGTTAAGTGAAACCCCGCCCTCCACCATTGTACAGCATTGTGTAGCAACCAGAAGAAGATGACATGACTGTATTTGAATAAATGTACAGTAGATTGTTGTACATGGAAAAAAATAAAACATATCCAGAAAATAAGCCCTAATGCATTTTGGGAGCAAAACTAATGTAAGACGCTGTCTTATTTTTGGGGAAGCACGGTAGGAGAAAGGCAATCTTCTGTATACATTACTTGAGGGGCCTAAAAATGAGAGTAATAATTAATCTTGCAATCAGTGAGGCAACTGACGAGACTAGCATCATGTTTGTGGGTGAAGTTTTATCATATTGAGTTAATTGGAACAGAGCTTTGCTGCGCATTGTGAAGTGGAGGCTGAATAGATAGGTGAATGATCTCATACTAGGAGAAGAAAGAAATATAAATTAGATTGCAAACTTGTCTACCAGGGCTTAAGATGCTAAGGAGAAGTTTGATTATTACCAGGCCTGATAAATATCATAAAAGAACTTTGGTGACAATTCCTTTTTGTTATCATCGTGCATTTTGTTTTCTTTTTAAAATTAAATTTAGCTATAAAGCAAGTAACAGGTTTCACACATAATTGCTGTGTCAACATGTTTTATCCTTGGTCAGGATACCATTTTTCTGTTTTGAAACAGATTTGTGACACATCTTTTACAATACTAGTGAAACAAACCTTGATACGCCTATAATAAAAATATGAGGCTAGGTTTGTTTTAATCATGTATGTTGATGTATCTTCTCAGCCAGTGAAAGTTGATCAAATAGTAGATATGTTGTTATATTACAAGTATTTGTTCTGTTATGTTGAATAGCTGCAACTCCTTCAGTACTAGTAGACATTGCATTTGGCTGCTTTCTGAATTGCTCCTCATTTTGGAGCAAGCTGCTATAAGTTTAGCTATTGCTGTGTGCCCATTTGTGCGTGTGCACATGTGAGTACGTGCACATATGCACTTTGGTACTGTTCTCCAAGCAGCGCAGTAACATCAGAGCTATAAATGGGTGCTTCCTACAGTGGTCAATGTATAAGTCAAACACCACAGCCCTTGTTTGTCCCATGATGAGATAAACTATTTACTCAGTTGTGACAAGTATAGTGTGACATTTTTCAAACACTTCAAACTCCTTTGAGATTGATTCTGCAGCCCTAAGCATTGTTTTGTTATTCTCCTCTTCTTCCTAGGCTACAACCACTTAAGATCTGTGATAATAAAGATCATGAAATTTAGTCTAGCTACTGGTGTCCACTTTATATATTCTTTTTGCCACAGATACCTTTTAATCACATAGAAAGGATGTTGCCCATAGTACCTGCAAACAGAATGAAGATAATTTTACTGTTGATTTGTATTCCAGCAGGGAAGTGGTAAAATTCTGCTTACAATATGAATGAATATGGTAACTGATTGGCTTCCTCCATGATTACCTGTATACTGAATCCCAGATTTAGAAAATATGTAGTAAAAATTTGTTGTAGCATTAGGAAATAATTCTGTTTTAAATGTATGTAACAGCAAAGTTTTCAAAGACTAAAATGTGGATAATGTCAGTTTATTATCTGGAGTAAGCTAAACAACTAGTAATTCTGCATGTGTAGAAGAATACTAAAATATGTTCCAATTATGTACTCAAATGCAATTTGTTTAAAATATGCCACAAATAATTTGAGGAAATTGTATCCTCAGAAAATTATGTTTTATGTTTTTCTTGTTGGAAAGAATGGCACTTTTCTTACTGGTTCAGTTCCTTCTTTTTGCTTCTTCTCTGTTATTCACCTCTTTGTGGTGGCTGCTGAGGTGTTTCATGAACTGTTCAAGCCACTGAAGAGTTCAAAACACTCTTGCTGCCTACTGCCAGGGGATAAAATATGACTTCTTTTCCATGATACGGCTATATCTCTTTCTAATGGTTTCAGAGCTGATATCCCCATTGAAGCTATCATAAGGTGAATTTATGTTATGGCAAATATAATAATACTTCAAAGTCCACACTGATGTGATCCCTTGATTAGGCCAACCAAATGCGTGTAGTCTTCCTCCTCCATTAACATCTCAAGATACTATGTGGATTATATCACTTTAAGATCAAATGTCCCTTTTTTTCCTCCTTCTCCATCCTACTTCTGTGACATATTTTCTATTATGTGATGCTCAAAATCTTCCACATTGTTTCTGCAATTTTGGTCAGCCTAATAAAGGTATTAATTGACTGATATGCCCACTGAGTTGGAGCACCAGGCTGCAGAGCCACAGATCAAGAGTCCCCACTGTGTATTGTAGGAGGAAAGCCGATGTGTGTGGTCTTGGGACAAGCTCCAGGATCCCAGAGCACCCCTAGAAGGGGGTGGTAAATGGTTTTTGAGTATCCTATGCCTAAAAAACCCTGGAAAGGGTTGTTCTAAGTTGGAAATGACTTAACAGCATGCAGTTAATTAGTAGAGGTATTATCCCAGAGTGGACTTGAAACTTGTTTTATTGCCAAACCGCTTATGTATCCTTTCTTTAACAATACATTATCTATTTTCACAGCAGGACATTGCAGGGGCAAGTGAAGTTATATGTCCTTTGCCTGAAACCACTCATGTCTTCACCTCAGACTTATGTGGAATTAAAGCCTTGTGTTAGTGATTTGGTTTGTCTGGAGAGACATATTCTGCAATAATTTCTGGAATCGTTGTATACTTTCTTGCACTTGTTAAATGTAATGGGTAATTTCATTCTGTTATACCATTAAATTCAGTGTTTTGGGTTCTTTCTGTTTTTTATGTTGCCAACTCAATAAACTCAATTCCCCCCTCCCCCACAGGTTATGGTTGAAAATTCTGATTTTACACCATCACAAGTTGGATGTCTTTTTACTTTCCTTGCTCGACAGCTTGCTAAACCCAACAACACACTATTTGTGAATAGGACATTGTTTGACCAGGTAAAATGGGAAAAAACAAATGAAGGGCTACTGTTGGTATAGTGCCTATACAATGAATTAATTATGTATATGATTCATCTTTGTGGTCTCTGTGATTCATATATATCGGGGGACTCAAGATAGCTCACAATAATTAAAATACAAGTAAAGGTAAAAGCACGAGAAATTATTAAAATTTAAAGACAATAGTATAAAAATAATCATATAAGCATTTTAAAAACCTCTAAAGCACATTCTAAAAATACTATACCTGAAATCACAGAAGGGTCCAGTTAAGTGCCCAATATAGTTTTAAAACTGTTTAAAAAGAAACGTCTTTACCTGCCAGTTGGACAAGGGAGCTTGCTAAGCAAGGACAGTCCAAGGGAGCTACCATAGATCAGGGCCCTCTCACATGTTCCCAGCAAACATGCCTGAGAGGGCAGTATTATATTATGTAACATTATAATAAAAAATCGTAGAATTGTGTCTGTGGTATTTTATGTATAGTGTTAGAAATATTAGGATTGAAAATTTAGAGTCTCCTGGCACCTGTGGAAAGAGGATCCAAAACAGACACAGGAGAATTTTCTGAGGAGAAAACTGGAGTAGGAAGCTAAATGCTGCCAAGTTGTACTCCGTTGACTGAATTTGCACATGACAAAATATGATCTATGTTATATAAGAAAACATTGTTAAGGCAGACCAAAGACCTATTTAGTACAGCATGCTGTTCCCACACTTGTCAAATCTATTCTTAAAGGACTCCACAAGCAGGACATAGGTGCAAAGCTCCTCATGTTTCTCATTAAGATATATTGCCGCTTTTACTGGAGAAAATATATGGTTATCATGACTAAGAGTCACTAATATCATTAACATCAAATCCCTTTTTGGTTTCCCTAATGTACCTATTTACCTACAGTATATCTTCATACTGAAACAGTAGAAAACTTGTTTTTCTTCAGTGTGGTGGTATGCTTTGGGGATGGAACAATATATATATATGAAATAGTGTTTTTCTTGGTACAGGTCCTTGAATTCCTCTGCAGTCCTGATGATGATTCACGGCACTCTGAGAGACAGCAGGTATGAATTCACGCTGTGAGAATGATACTTGGTCAAGGAGGGAAGGTCATTGCTATGAATGACCTGACTATAGAGCAAGAATGCTAAAACTGGCATTCAGTTCAAGAATTTAAGAGCATTTGAAAATCAGTCCATAGCCTGTATATTTCAGGGTGAGAATTCATAGCATTGTATACAGTTACTGTGTAAATAGTGTCTGGATATTTCCATAGCAGTACAAGTTGGTTACACAAATGTGCAGCATCCTCAAAAGCAATCCAAAACAATGTCCATACTGCAGCACCAGTCTGGATAAACAGTATTGCTGTTTGCAGTATAACATGTTTTTTTTTAAATTCTCAGATTTGCCACTGCCACAACTAATGCCATTGGAGTTTGTTGCAGAGAAAATAGTACATGCTTATGAAATGCCACCTCAAGCTCAGCAATGACTAGCTTGATAAGCAGTTCTAGAAAACCTGAAAGCTCAGTTTTTAATGACAGTTTAGTGGTCATGTAAAGTCATTACGTAGCCCTGATTTTGGATCTGTATACACAGTTATCCTCTGTGCGGCTGGGAGAAAAGGTGCCAGATTTTTACAGGAACAGAAGTTAGAAAAGTTACCATTTTGACTATAGCTCCCATAATCTAACCAGACAGCATAGCCACTGTCTGTGTGATTGGGACGCTGGAGATGGGAAAGAGATAATTCATTAAAAGGAGTAGATGAACACTGCAGGAATTACTGTGGGGCTTGGGGGCTAGACAGGGAAAAATATGCTTAAGCCAGTCTTCTAAAATACGTTGACACCAAAAGTGATAGCCTCCCTTTTTATCTAAACTGGTGATGGAGATGGATCTGAGAGTCAAAACACAAATATCAAGCTTCATGAGATATATTGGTTGCTCTGCTGTACTAATTCCAATTATAGGTGACAAATCATATTTAAGTGTCTTCCATAAGGAAAGTCATTGTGAATACAAATATAGCATGCCAGCCAAGGATTTCTCCAAGGAAGTCAGTAGACTTTTAAAAAAAGTGATGGTGGGTGGTTGAATACATACTGCTTTGCAGACTGAAGCCTGAAAGTAAAGTCAGCTCTTGAAATTTGAAAATGTGTAGACATAGGCAGAATCTGTGGACATATAGAAGTATGTCACTAGCATAATACCTGTAATAATAATTTCACTCTAATAGGTTCTTCTAGAATTGCTCCAAGCTGGAGGCATAGTACAATTTGAAGAGAACAGACTTATTCAAATGGCAGAAAAAGCTGAATTGTAAGTCTTTCTTGTTTATTTTCTGTCTCCTTTTATGGCTTCCTATCATTACATGGACACTCTTCAGCTTTAATGGTTTTTCACTTACTCTTCAAGTCACATCCTTTTTGGGTGTTCTGTTGCTGTTATGTTCTCAAATTGATGATAAACTTGCTTTGATTTCCTGTGTAGTTGATCCATGTCAGTTTTGGCATTGGGGCTTTGACAAACGAGAATCTTAGCCTTGGTCTCCCAAAGGCTGTGTACAGACATCCTCTGGGACCTGCAGTATGTGCCATAGTTTCATTATTTTGAGTCTTCCTGGTTCAACACAGATGATCCCAATAGGTTTCCTGATGAGGATGGAGCCTATTGCATCTGTAATTTCATTGAAGCTTGCTAATCTCGAAAGCTCCAGGCTGGCATTATCTGCAGGAGATGGATGGAACTAGGAAAAGCACATGGGGTGGTTGCTTGGCAACTGCTTTCAGCAGTGAGCCTTGTGCTCATTCTCATGTTGTCTTGTTTCTGCAGCCGGACTTGGGTCCTTAGCAGGCGACACAGTCTAACCTCATGGCCAAGTTTCTGGTAACCGATTTGGTCAGCATCTTAAAAGAGAATACACATTAAGCTGACTTCTACTGCTGTTGCAACTTGCAGGAACATGCGGTGTTTCCAGATCAGTCTAGTGTTATTCCACTTGGCTTATTTTAATTTCGTTATCAGATGTTATAGTACATTTGAGCTGTGGAAATCAGCTGTGAGGGTTTATTTTCCCCCCTTAACTCCCCCCACCAGCCGAAATCTGAGAGGTGTGTCTTTAGCTGGAATCTTGTACAAATCTACATGGAAGTAAACCCCATTTATTTTAGATGCATAAAAGATTTCATTGTTACCTGCTAACAATAGGCAATTTGCCTTCATCTGCTTGAGAATGTTAAGAAAGTAAAAAGGGCTGTGCTGGATTAAATCAAAGTCCTATCCAGTCCAGCATTCTGTTTACACAGTAATCATCCAGATGCCTTTGGGAGGTCCACAAACAGGACGTGAGTGTTCCCCCCACAGTTGGTGTACAAAGCCATACTGCTCTTGCTACTAGAGGAAATGTATATCCATCGTGACTAGTATTTGCTGACAGCTTCACCTTCCATGACTGTACCTAAAATATTTAAAATATATCTATGTCTCTTGCATAAATCTAAAGCTATCCAAGGTGGTGGCTGTCAATATATCATGAGTTACTAAATTTCACAGCATTATATTAAGAACCTTTTCCTTCTATTATGAAGCTTTTCCTTCTATCACTCTTCAGCTTCAGTGGATAACTTCAGGGTCTTTTATTGTGTGAGAAAAAGGAAAAAATATTTCCTGATCCACTTTTCCCACACCATACATTATTCTATTCACTTCTGTCATGCCTCCCTTTCTTTTTTCATAAGTTAAACAGCCCCAAATGTTGTAACACTTCCTTATGCAGGAGGCTCTTGGCGTATTTAGTTGCACTTTTCTACATCTTTTTCCTTCTCTGCAACATCCTTTGTGAGGTACAGTGGACATAACTTGCTACAGGTTTTAAGGTGCAGTCACACAGTACAGTAGATTGTTTAAGGGCAATTGATTATTGTCAGTTTTCTTCCAGTTCCTGTTCCAATTATGAAATTTGCCTTTTTTCAAATGGCTTGACAATTTTATTAAGAAATTAAGCGACAATCCAAGATCTCTTTTGTAGACCTAGTGTGTATTGCTTGTTCAAAATGAAAAATGTTTGCCACTTTGAAGCCCATTACTCTGAAGTGGAAACATCCTTTTGGAGCTCTTCACAGCCTGTTTCTGTTCTAACCATCTTAATCAATTTTGTGGAAACCTCCCTGTATCTATCTCTTCATTGACAGAACCGACCTGTTATTTTTACCCTCTGCTTGCTGCTAAGTCAGTTAACACTCCATAAATGGATGTCTCCTCTGAGTTTGACCATGAATTTGTGTGAAGTATTCTGTCAAAGGCCTTTTGGGCATCCAAGTGAGGGTGTGACTACACTAGCAAGAGAATGTAATTTACCTAACCTTGAATTAGAATCTGTGTATACAGTTAACTTCTCTGTTAGCAGTCTGTTCTATGGTTGCATTCAGTTCAGGTGATCATATGAAGACTGGATTGTGTTGGTGCCAGTGTCCAAACTGAACCTCAATCTGATGCAATTTGTTACTCACAGCCCACAGTCTCCCTTCCTTTGATACCACCCATCTGAAAATTCCTGGGTCTCCTTTCTTATCTTATTTTGTCTGTACAAAGGTGAGCTAGTGCTAAATTAATGTATCACAGCAGTGACACAATCGATCAGGGTCCCTATCCTTTCATCAAGTACAATGTGAAAGAAGAGAATGGGAGAGAGGAGGTTGATTCAGTACACATTGTTCAGGCCACAACTACACTGACATATACTTCACAATTTGCTCTACATTAGCATGGATGAATCAAAGTATTTTTCAGTGATTACACAACACCAAGGACAATGCAAATCAGCCTAGTTCTTCTCGCTTCTGATTCAGAGTTTTTTCTCCTGCCACTGGAGGCTTCTACTTTTTTAATGCCAGAATGGTTAGAATGGTGTTTTCCCTTGCTTCCCCCCTTTTTTTCTATAAAAGGAGGGATGCATGACTCTGGATAGTGTTACGGTGACATACTAAGCTGTAGTGTGATGTTTTGGGAAAGTGGGAATGCCCACCCCCATGATCTTTACTCACTCAAAAATCTTTAATTTTTGTTTTTGAAAAACATACTACCACATTTAATTCTAGATTACTTTATCACTACATGGAATGTGTACTTAATTGTGGCCGGAATGTATACTGAGCAGTGACAGTATGTCATTAGCCCTAAAGTATTAAGGAAGCATGTTCTACTGATAAAGCTTAGTGTATTTTCAGGTTGTAAAGAAAAACAAAAAAAAAGGTGTGTTGCTTATATTGTGCCTTAAAAGCCCTGACTTTCTTAAGATTCTGTCATTCCTAACCCCCAAAAGAAATTGAAAGCAAGAGACTTCTTAACACAAATAAATTAAAATTTGTTTTATTTTAGCTACCAGATTTGTGAATTTATGTATGAACGGGAGCATCGCTATGATAAGATAATTGATTGCTACTTGCGGGATCCTCTAAGAAAGGTAAGGATGAGAAGATGCCTAAGCAATTATAGAGAGAGAGTCGATGAGATCTGTTTTCCTTCCAGTTTTCATCCTAGTTCTCAGCAGATGTGGGCTGACTCTGTATGTGTGCGCGCATGCATGCATGCATGTGTGCACATGTGTATGTGTTTGTGTGTGTTAGTAGGAAAAGGAATTTCATTTTCAAATTGAGACTTTTTAAAAAATTCATTTCCCGTTAGGTAAGGGAAGGTTATAGGGGAAAGTGAGGCTTTGATGTAGGAATGGCACATAAAATGTTTCATGGCACTTTATCTATTACTTTATGTTTTATATATGGAGTTTCAGCATTCAATGAATAATGTAATTTATCATAGAGAAGTACACTATCAAGTTAGTGTGTGATGTTTTCATGCTTCCCATTTATTGTTTTAAAGGAAGAAGTTTTCACTTACATCCACAATATACTCTCAATTCCTGGGTACAGCACAGAAGAAAAGACATCTGTGTGGCAGAAAGCTGTGAAACACATTGAGGTATGGCTTATATTAACTCATACATTTCAGGATAAACTCAATTTAACTGCAGTTATTCTAATGGTATCTAGCAAGCAAGATGATCTTTTATGATTGTTTTATTTTTAAATCACACTGTCTGAAACTGTTCGTGGTAATGTTAATGTTTTAAAAATGAATCTTAAACTAATAAAACTAGATAATACAATAAAAATCAACTGAAAATAATAGCAGTATCAGTAAATAATAAGGTAGTAATGTCATGGCATATGATACCACTCTAATGGCAGAAAGTGAGGAGGAATTAAAAAACCTCGTAATGAGGGTGAAAGAGGAGAGTGCAAAAAACGGTCCGAAACTCAACATCAAAAAAAAACCTAAGATCATGGCCACTGGTCCCATCATCTCCTAGGAAATAGAAAGGAAAGATATGGAGGCAGTGACAGATTTTAGTTTCTTGGGCTCCATGGTCACTGCAAATGGAGACAGCATCCACAAAATTGGGAGGAAAGCGATGACAAACCTTGACAGCATTTTAAAAAGCAGAGGCATCACCTTGCCAACAAAAGTCCGAATAGTCAAAGCTATGGTTTTTCCTGTAGCGATGTATGGAAGTGAGAGCTGGACCATAAAGAAAGCTGACCGCCAAAGAATTTATGCCTTTGAATTGTGGTGCTGGAGGAGACTCTTGAGACTCCCCTGGACTGCAAGGAGAACAAACCTATCCATTCTGAAGGAAATCACCCCTGAGTGCTCACTGGAAGGACAGATCCTGAAGCTGAGGCTCCAGTACTTTCGCCATCTCATGAGAAGAGAAGACTCCTTGGAAAAGACCATGGTGTTGGGAAAGTGTGAAGGCAAGAGGAGAAGGGGACGATAGAGGATGAGATGGTTGGACAATGTCATCGAAGCAACCAACATCAATTTGACGCAACTCCGGGAGGCAGTGGAAGACAGGAGGGCCTGGCGTGCTCTGGTCCATGGGGTCACGAAGAGTCGGACACGACTAAACGACTACAAATGCCATGGCAAAACAGAAGCCATACTGATTTTGAACTTATGGTACTGGTTTTGCAGTAGTACAAAAAGCTGTTGTTATTATATGCTGTCAAATTACTTCCAGTGTGTATGGTAATCTTATGAATGAGTGACCTCCAAAATTTCCAGTCCTTCACAGCCTTGCTCAGCTCTTGTAAACTCAAGGCTATTACTTCTTTTATACATCACTCCATCTCATATTTAGCCTTTCTCTTTCCCTGCTGCCTTCAACTTTCTCTAACATTACTGTCTTCTTCAGCAAATCTTGTCTTCTCATGATGTGCCTGAAGTACAACAGCCTCAGTTTTGTCATTTTTTTATTCCAGAGGAAGTTCAGCCTTCATTTGATTTAAGACCCACTTAATTCATCTTTTTGGCAGTCTAGCGCACTGGTTCTTAACCTTGGGTTACTGAGGAGTTTTGGACTGCAACTCCCAGAAGCTTTCACCAGCAACTGTGCTGGCTGGGGTTTCTGGGAGTTGCAGTTCAAAAACATCCAAGTAACAAAGGTTAAGAACTGGTCTAGCGTATCTGCGAGGCTATCCTCCAGCACCATATTTCAGATGAATCTATTCTTCTTTCTGCCATCTTTCTTCACTGTCTTGCTTTCTTGCTTACATAGTAACCAGAAATACAGTCATGTGGAGAGTCTTGGTATTGATCTTGAGTGATACATCCTTATACTTAATCTTTTCTAATTTCTTCATTGCTGCCCTTCTGAGTCTCAGTCTTCTTTCTTGGCTGCAGTTTCCATTTGGATTGATGATTGAACCAAGGTTTACAAAATATTTGACTATTTTAAGTTCTTCATTGTCAACATTAAAGTGATGTAGTTCTTCTGTAGTCATGATTTTGGTCTACTTAATGTTCAACTACAGTCTTGTGTTGGCACTTTGCTCTTTAATTTTCACTAAGAGTTGTTTCAAGTCATTTCTGCTCGCTGCCAGCAAGATGGTGATATCTTCATATTGTATATTATTTATGTTTCAATCCTCCTTCATCTGACTCTAGTCTGGCTTTCTGTAGGATATGTTTTGGATACAGATTGAAAAGATAAGGGAGGATGCACCCTTGTCTGACATCTTTGCTTATAGGAAACCATTCTGTTTCTCCATATTCTGTCTTAACAGTAACTTCTTGTCCACAATACAGGTTATGCATGAGGACAATTAAGTTTTGTGGTATACCCATTTCTTTCAGAACAGTCATAATTTCTCATGATCCCCAAAGTCAAAGGCTTTGCTGTAGTCTATAAGGCATAGAATGATCTTCTGAAACTCTTTGGTGTGTTCCAATGGCCACGAGATATATACAGTATGATCTGAAGTGCCTCTTCCATTTTGAAATCTAGCTTGTATATCAGGCATTTCTTACTCCATATAAGGTAAAAGACCATTCCCAGTTTAATTATCAAGGTCTGGAAGATCTGCAAAAAAACCCAAAACAAACAAACAACAACAAGACCATCTTACGCCTTAGTTTCATTTAAGAATGTTAGAGTTCTAGACAAGTCAGCCATAATAATCACTGTGGAGGCATGGGTGACTGTTATGATTTGAGATGATTTGTCTATTATGACTTTGGGTTGCTGTTGTTCCACAGTGGCCCAGTGTGTATATAGCCAAAACAAGCACAACCAAGAAATAGGACTGGACAATTACTTTTGTAAAGTATGCGTGTACAAAATTACACAATAAGAAGCATCAGAGCTATACACGTCTTGCTGCATTATGACTTGTTCTATCTTTATATCAGGCGGAATAAAAAAGAAAGAAACCTCATAAAAATCTCAGCATAGTTCTGAATCCTGCTGAGGACAGCTGAAGGAAAGCATTAACAATACTGTTGAGGAAGGAACGTGTGTATGGCAAGGATAAGTCCTTTTTTAGCTTCTGGGTATGTTCCTTTCAGATGAAAGTAGGATTTGGATTTTACTTCTTAAAACTGGCTTGTTCATGTCAGAAGCAATCCAGCAGTGCTTTTGGCTAATACTGGTATCCATAATAATTCTTATTTCAGGTACTAAGTGTGAAAGTATGTGTTTTTAGTTAATGTTTACAATACATTAGGAAAATGTATATATGCAGATTGCAGTCAAATTTTCCTTTAAAAAATCTGAGGCTACAATCTGTTTAAATCAAATTATTTAAACTGGAATCCAGTGGTATTCTAGCTAAATATATTTTTCATGTAACTATATCACAGTAACCCCAGAGCAATTTTATTTCTATAGAAGCTGGGCATAAAAATAAGAACCTGAACCAAATTTGCATTCATATTCTGTAGCTGAATTGGCTTATGAAAGAAATCTGCCTGTTGTAAGGAAATATTGGATTTTGTGTGAGAACCAATAAGTACAGTTGTCTGGATATGCCCTCTGCTCTGCAAACATTTTTATATTGGTTACATACTGGTTATTTAGTTCAGCGTTAAGGTAAACTGCTTGAATATACGTAGAAGGCAATGAGACTGTCAGCAGACTCAAAAGGAAGTATGGGGTGTTCTAAGGCAATTTGTGTTCTTCACATTTCCATTTTGGTCAGTGGAGTAATAGCTGCATCACAGATGAACTTATTTGCTCCTTTTAATCATCCATCTTTTAAAAATCTTTAGCTCACTGCACTGGGAGAAAGACGGCATAAAAATAGATTAAATAAATAAAAAATAAAATTGTTAACTTACTTATTTTTGAAAATATTTCAAATATAATTTCTTTTTGAATTTACTGTGGCATATCAGAAATGTATTTGTTAGTGTATATATAAACTCTGCATTAGTGGAAATATAATGATAATTTCTTCCTTCCTTTTTTCTTCTTTCTCAGGAGCTGATCTCAATAAGTCCCTTTAAAGCAGCTGATCTGATTTCCATTCACTTCAGTGACCAAATTGAGGACATTATTCAGAACCTGCAGGTAAAGACTTCATGGATACCTCTCATTGAGCAGAAAATTAAAATTATGGGAGAAGAGGTTTGCGAATTATGGCAGTGGGCTTTTATTTAAAATCAGAGTTTGGACTCAGAATTGCCAAACCAATTTTTTGAAGATCTCTAATAATCATGACATCTCAGGGAGGAGTACACAAATTTTGTACGATAATAATGATAGACTGACTCCATCTCTTGTGCCATTGTTCTAAGTTTCATCTCTTAAAATGGCATCAGTTACTACTTTGTTGCTTCTGAAGAATGGTGATAAACTTGAAGCTCTTGTCTTAATCCTACCCTTTTTGCTCATTTATCTTATCTGATTCTGTTCTGTGTATTCCAGTCTCTGCTCCAAACTATGCCTCTATGTTTTCTTACTTTCTCTTAAACTCCTCTCTCCTTCCATTGACACACAGTATTAGCATTTACTGGTGGCCTCTTCTCCAGCTTTTGTCTTTTTGCTTTCAGTTTTCCTCTTTCTTCTATCTAGAATACTATCTCCTTGTTCTTTAAATTGCCCTGTAAGAGATAATTTAAACAGGACAATATTTTACATTATTTTGTCTTCTCTACATTTCTATTGTCCTTTGTTTTTTCTACATTTCTGCTGCAGTGAATATTAAACAATACATAGTGGTGTGTTATCTTTAGTTAAAAAGAACCTTAAGTATCTTCTGTGTGCATTGTATCTCTAGCTTCAACTTCTCTCAGTTTCCCAACATTTAGTGTTGCAGTTGCAAAGGAGCTCTTTTACAGCTAGGAATGGAGTACAGTATGTTCTGTAAGATTGCATCTAAAGCGAACACTGAGTGGGGATTGTATGTTCCTCCTGCTTACTGTTCCATACTAAGGATAGGATCCTTTTCAGTTAAACTGTTTGTGCAACAAATTGTGCAGGTGGTTTGAATTTTTTTCTCATTCACATGCAGAGATACTTGTATCCAGTAGCTCCTTGCACAAGCAGAGGTTGAGCTGCTGCAACAGCAATGTCATCCAGAAATTTGGGGTGTGGTATCATCAGTACGCCAATGATATGCAATTCTGTCTCTCCTTTTCTACCTCTGTGGTGGATGCTGTCTGAATGTTGGATTGGTGTCTGACTTCAGTGCTGGAATGGACCACGGCTAACAGGCTCAGTCAGAACCAGGACAAGATGGAGATCTTGGGGGGGGGTGCCTCTGACTGGTTCGGGATTCTCTCCATAGGCTGGATGTAGACTTACCACTTAGGGACAGAGCTTGGAATCTGGGAGTTCTCCTGGGCCTGGCTCTTTCCAGGTTAGCCTTTAATAAACTGAGGCTCATCACCCAGCTCTGCTCTCATACATAGACGAAGGAGACCTCAGGATGTTGGTGCATGCATTGGTTATCTCCAGGATCGACTATTATAATGCTCTCTATGTGGGACTTCCTTTGAGGTTTGCCTGTATACTGTAGTGAGTTTAGAATGCAGCTGCCAGGCTCATAGCTGGTGTGAGCAGATCTGATCACATCTCCCCTGCCCTGGCTCACCTGCACTGGTTACTAGTTGCATCCCAGATCAAGTTCAAGGTATTGATGCTTTCTTACAAAACCCTTCATGGTTTGGGACCAGGTTTCTTGCCAGAGTGTCTTTCTCCAAGGCCGTCCTCCCATGCCACCAGATCCTCTCAATCTGTGTTCCTCCACATGGTTATACTGAAGGAGGCCAGAAAATCTTCTAAAAGAAATCAGACCTTCTTGATGGTGACACCAAATCTTTGAAATCACCTTCCAGTGGAGCGTCACCTGGCTCCCTTTCTCCTTAATTTTAAGAGGCTGCCGAAGACTCGTGTCTTTCATGAGGCTTCAATGTCAGCTCCTTTTAAATTTATACATCTAGTACCTCTGCTCCAATACGTTGCACCATCAGGCCTCAATGCCATCTTATTTTAGCTAGCTGCTGCCTGGTTTTAAATTGGTTGGATTGTGCCATTTTACTATTTTATATGTAAGACCCAGCTTCCCTTAGTCACCTAATGCAAAAATTGGATTCCTGCCTTGATCTGTATAGTACTGTATATACGAATGTAGTTGAGTATGGCAAAAAATCACCTTTGGCCCACATTCTATCTTGTTTGGATTGAAGGCTTACTTTATGGATCAGGCATCAATGCCAAGCTTTTCCAATGCTTAACAGGATTATTTTTATAAGTATCTTATTGAATTTCTCTTATGCTTGTTTTGTATGCCACAAACATAAATGTTCTGCCAAGAGCAAATGTTTCTCAGCTGAGGAACATTTTAGGAATGTTCACGAACAATAGGAATTGTGAGAGTGTGGTAGTCTCTCTCTTATGTCTGAAGAAATGGACTTGTTTCACAAAAGCTCACATTAAAATATAGCAATTAGTCTTTAATTTCCCATAACAATTTTGTCTGCTTTATTTTTTGTTTTGTTTCTGCTTTTGTTTTGTGTCTTGATATTCCTGACACTAATTGCACTTGCTAATGGAGAACTTGTCATTCAGCCACTGAACCATTTTAGAAGCAGCTAGGAAATAGTTTTTGCAGAAGCAATTGGTTAATTGATCCACCATTATGCATAATTCTACTCTTGGCCAGATCTATCACTTGACATCTTAACAGGTTTTTAAAAACTGTGTGGGAAACTAAGAGAACAACTCTTTTTAATCTAACTTGTTTTTGCAGTTTCTGTAAATCTGAAACTAAACCTAACAAGATAATTTATTGTGAGTCTTTTAGTTTTAGCACCAATTTGGATAGCAATCAAAGTCTGTGTTAAGATCTTTCTAAAAAGGGTTGCTATGATGTCATTGTTTTTATCTATCTATCTATCTATCTATCTATCTATCTATCTATCTATCTATCTATCTATCTATCTATCTATCTATCTATCTATCTATCTATCTA